CCAGCCCGGGGCAAAATCAGACCACAGGGCAAAATGTCTCCAGGGAGAACTCATTCATCATTTTGCCTTTTCAAAATTGAGATCAAATTAGAAGTCTGGTTAAAAGGAAATAAGTCATCCAGCAGCTTTGGTTCACAGAAGCCCAGTGCTTGGCAGGTATGCAGCCACCCACTGGGCCGGGAGCTGCTGGAGGAAGTGATGGGCAGCTGGATGTCCCACTGGGCTAGCACCCCTCTTTCTAGGGCATCAGGGAGGGTAGAGGGATGCAGCTCTGGGGCTTGAGGAGAAAAGAACTAATGACATCGTGATGAATGTATGATTGGAGCTACAGCCATTGCAATCAACAGGTTTTCCTGATTCTAAACTGAGGACAAATTGCAAGTAACAGAGGAGCATCTGTTTGAGAAGAGGACTTTTGAGCATTGATCCTAGCACCTTCCACTTCACACTGGGTCCTGCTGATGTCCATGCACCCTGGCCCCAGGCCCTGACAAAGAGCACTGCTGTCTTATCCCTGAGCCTTGAGTGTGCTCAGAATCCCATCCCACCCAGGACTGGTGCTTTCAGGTCCTGCTGCCATGGGGTCACGTAAAAAGGCAGGCTGCTGGCTGGCAGCTGGTTCTTGGGGGAATCTTCCTGTTTGCCACCAGGCACAGTAGAGAGGGAAAGGTAAACAGAGCCAAATATATGCTCGCCTTCAGTGAAATAGAGGGCCAAGTAAGATGAGCAAATCCATGAGGGTGGGAAGGGGCAGATAATGGGTACATGGTCATTTCTAGTCTCAAAATTAGAGTCACCATTAAGTAAGTATCTTCTATTTGCCAGTCACCTATGCTAGGTACTTCATGTATATTATATCCAAACCACAGAATGAGAGGTAGGGGTTGATCCTCCCATTTTATAGAGAGGAAACTGAGGCTTAGAGAAATTTGGTGATTTATCTTCAAGTCACACATAGAAGGAGAGGAATGTTTTACATGTAGGAAGTGTTAAGAACACACCTTGGAGTCAAATTCTGATTCCCCTGCTTACTGCTTATGTGATCCTGGGTGGGAAAGTACTATTCTCTTCATATCTTAGTTTCTATACCTGTAAAGTGGAGATAATACCTGCCTCACCATCTTTATGAGGCTTATGTGGGCACAGGATCTTCAAGTTTTGATAGGGCACCTAGTGCAGAGCAAAGGCACAATGCAGGGTGGGGCTGGGTGCAGTAGCTCATGTCTATAATCCCAAAAATTTGGGAGGCCGAGGTTGGTTGGTCACTTAAGGTCAGGAGTTTGAGACCAGCCTAGCCAACATGGTGAAACCTTGTATCTACTAAAAATACAAAAATTGGGATACAGGTGCATGCCTGCAATCTCACTTACTCGGGCAGCTGAAGCACGAGAACCACTTGAACCTGGTAGGCAGAGGTTGCAGTGAGCCAAGACTGTGCCACTTACTCCAGCCTAGGTGACAGTGTGTGACTCTGTCTCAAAACAAACAAATAATGCACAGACAGGATTTATTCTCTCTCTCTCTGCTTGTCTGCAGGATGCCAGTCTATGAGGACCAAAAGCTCATTCCATGGGAAAGGGAATCAGTTCTAAATGGTTTTTTTCTTCACCTCTGATTAGTCTCTCCTCTAATGGAAACCTTGGAGGCTGTATTTTCAAGGTATTTAGAAAATGAGACCTCTTACTTAAAAAAAAAATGTTATATGCGATTAAATGCTTCTGTCCTCAGGTCAGTGCAAAAGTAATTGTGTTTTTTGTCATTACTTTTAAATGGGAAAAACTGCAATTAGTTTTGCACCAACCTAATACTTCCCTCAATTCTCCAAGCCAAGAAGCTCTTATTTGAACCAGTCCTCAAAAATGTGTTTACAATAGCAGCCCCTGACCTGCTGCAGCATCTCAGCCCCTTCCTGTCATTTCTTCCCAACTCTGAACCTTGCTGGCACTGAAACTGCCTTCCTCACATCGTCTATGAAGACACTGGGCAGCTCTGGACTGTCTGTTACCTGCCACCTCTGCTGTGGCTTCAGAATCGTGATGGAGTTCCAACCTAGCCACATCCCCTTTAGGATGGACAATCCCAGGTCCTCTGCCTGTTGAACCAGAAAACTCTGACTACCCGGAACAAGCATGCCTCCAATGGTGTCAGGGCTCCTGGCAAGCAGAGATGAGGCCATCTTAAAGATGGCATTGGCATTTTCCACGCTGCCTGGAAGGTTTGCATGGTAGTGTGTGTTAGAGGTAACAAAGTTGGGGCAGTGGCGGGGTGGATCCACACTGTAGAGGGAGAACACTAGCATGTGAAACATCTCTTCCCACCTGTGAGAGGAGAGAGAGCCTCAGGTGCAGCACCTTCCTCCAAATCGGAGATGACTGCTCTCGGCAGGCACTCTGGAGCAACGATAATAATAACATAATTTGACATTCCCCATTCTTTGTGGAAGAGAATACACCTGTAATAGCCATTTTCAAAAGCCAAGAAGGAGGAGTGCAACCAGAGCAGGGAAAGGATGGGCCTGAACTTCAAAGGAGACAGGCCTGATGGTTATGCACAGAGGCAGCCTTTCCGTTTTCAAAGCTCCGTGGATTTCTCTCTGAAAACACCAACTTTTGCACCCACTAATTTTCTTCTTTGTGCTCTGATCGGCATCAAGCCATTCTTCCTTTGCAATTCAGTAGACTCTTGAAGGGTGTTTGCATGACAGGACTGATGGGCACGTCCTGGCTTCTCTACAGTGGCCTGTCACTTGCTTGCCACCCAGGGTGCCACCACAGAGTGCCCCAGTGAGCTCCCTCCAGCCATATGCAGTGCATCTATCCCAGTGAGGGGATCAGGCCATTGATTTTCTTCCACCGCCCACCTCCACCACTCCTTCTGCCTGCCAAATGCCAATTATTTATCTTGGTTTCAGAAATGAAGTTCTTAATTTAAGTCAACAGCTGCCTTACCTGTGAAGAGCACTTTCTTCACAGGGTATGTTGAATAAAATCTCCCTGGCGGAGGAGGATTTCCTTTCCTACATGCTTCAGAGAATGGCCAGCTTTGATTCCTTATAGGACATGAACCTCACCCTTTCCCAGATCCCTCAAACTTTAACCCAACCGACATCATAGTCAACGCCATCAACCTCAAGATAGAGCCTGGTAATCTCTCTCCCTCTCTCTCTCTCTCTCTTTCTGAGATGGAGTCTTGCTCTGTCACCAGGCTGGAGTGCAGTGGCATGATCTCAGCTCACTGCAACCTCCAACTCCCTGGTTCAAGCGATTCTCCTGCCTCAGCCTCCCAAATAACTGGGATTACAGGCATGTGCTGCCATGCCTGGCTAATTTTTGTATTTTTAGTAGAGACGGGGTTTCACCATGTTGGCCAGGATGGTCTTGATCTCCCGACCTCATGATCTGCCCACCTTGGCCTCCCAAAGTGTTGGGATTACAGGCGTGAGCCACTGCACCAGGCTGGTAATTTCTTACATTTGCGTAGCACTTTATAATTCCCAAAGTGCCTTCACCTCCAAAACCTCATTTAACCTTTACAACAGTGGAGGAGGTAGATTAGACAGGTATTAGTTTTTCCAGAAGCAGTAGCCAAAGCTCAGAGAGGTTAAACAAGTTGCCCAAAGCCACACAGCTGGCAGGTAGCAGGATAGGACCAAAAGTCTTTGGAATTTTGGTCTGGGACTCCTGACATTCACTGTACTATGAAGACCCTGTCCCCTACTCTAAAATGATTAACTGATTATAAGGAGGAGCCAGAGAGTAGTGTCACTTACTGAATGTCTCACTTAGGGACTTGCAGTCCACAGGTGACCCTGGTTTAGAGTGACCCTGGGGCAACTGGAAGGGAGCATTGCCTTTGGGGATGGGGTGAGAGTACAAGGTGGGTTAGGGAAATAAACTCATTTGCATCAGTCAGGGTTCACTGCAGAAAGAGATGCCTGTGCTTTGGCACCTTAAGCAGAAAACAATCTAACCCATGGAACAGGATGCCTACAGTCCCACCAGATGGGCTGGAGGAGGGTGCCAGGAGAGACCCCTAGGAACGATTCCCAGAATGATTCACACAGAGCTCTCCTAACAGGAGACACACCACCTACCACTCGCCCTACTGAATTAAGAGCACATGCAGTGGCTGCGGGCCAGGAGTCAGCTGCAGGCCACCGATGACGCCAATGTGACTCTCTCTTAGCACTCCACAGCTGGAAAACGGATGCTGAAATGCTGCTACCAACAAGTCTGATGTTTCTGGCAAACTGCCAGCAGAAAATAGCAAAAGGGGTAGAAAGTGGCATTGGGCCGGCCAGTAGTTCCCGTCTAGAATCGTTTCTACAAGAGAGTCTGGGGAATGTGGCTTTTTGTGAGATGGTTTCTAGCTTCTACCGAACAGGATGGAACATTCAAAGGAGGGAACAATGGAAGTCGAGTAAGCCAGTGCACAGCGCCCACCACAGCAGCCAGCCCACTCTCTTGTTACCCGCGAAAACCCAACATGCAAACACTGAAAATGAATACTTGATTCCAGAGCGGATATTTCAGAGGTCTTTATTAGCATAGGAACAACTCAGTGTGTGTGTTTGTGTGTTCCCCAAGTGCACACAGACACCATATCTCTCAAGAATCACTGATGTATTTCACCGTGGAGTTGAGAATTTCTAGGCCATGAAGCTTTCTTAGTTGAGCAGCAAACCTGTCACAATCAAAACACACAACCCAGGATATAAGTGCCAAGGTTCAGACTTCTGGAGCCCAGAGCCAACCCCCTCTCAGATGGAAGCTGGCTGGGAATGTCAGCCTATCATTCTGGGTGGAAACAGGAGGTGGCTGTGGCAATGGGGTACCCTAAAAATTACAGGGGTAAAGACGATCGAGGCCCACAAAGCACTGAAAACACTCGCTGGAGGTGGCAGGTGTGTCAGGCTGATCAGATGGGACCTTGCTCTTGGGAACTCCCCCACAGGTTGCCACTTTGAAGTCATCCTAGCTAATATGTTTGCTTTCTACAGAAGAAAAATTTTAACTATTCCTTCCATTTGAACCACCAGACAGAACTAGAGAGGACCTTAGTTATCATCGAGGCCAAGCCCCTCATTCTACAGAGGAGGAATTAAAGGCATGTGGCTGTAAGGGAAGGAGCCTCTCTCACCCAGCCCCAAGGTTTACCCCTGCTCTATGGCGGGGCTCCTTCACTCAGCCACATGTGGACACCTCCCAGAAGCACATGCAATGAGGTGCATCCACACATCAGAACAGGAGCACAGCGGAGCGGAGGTCTGAGCTAACAGAGAAGGCACGGGCACAGTTACAGCCCACATCTCTTGTCCTCGCTCGCTGGGGGCCTCGATGCACTGCTCTATGTCTTTGCTTCACTCTGCTTTCTCCTGCATGAACGTGTGACCCTTGCTGGCCATTTCTCCACTTGTTTAGGCTGAGGCAAAGAACATGAAGTGGGAGTGTTTCTGGAAAAGTGAAGCAGAGAGAAAAGAGGAAAGAGAAGGGAAGGTGGAGTGGGAGGGAGGGGAAGGACGATAAAGAGACAGGGAGAGGGATGAAGAACGGCAGAGAATGGAATGGAGAGAAGGCAACGGCAGCAAGTATGAGCAGCGAGTCCTCATCAGACAAGCCGATTCCCTCTCTGGTTGGAGCCTGAGAGCTCCCAGTTCCTCTAGCAAGGCTTTCTTCAGAGAAGCAGCTATTGGGCTTAACTAGGTCTGCACAGAAATCATGAGGGCTCCCCAGTGTTTTGTGTGGCACACAGTCCAGACAAAACACAGTGCCTTAATTCAGCTGCTCTTTCCGCAGTGAGACCGACACTGGGTTAGCCTGACTCCCAGTCCACAACGTACCTGGGCTCAGCTGTGCACAGCTTCCCCAGAGCAATGCCTGCGTTCACCTGCACAGCTGTCTTCTGTGTGTCACTGCCTGCGAGCCTTAACAAGACCTGCACGAGGTCCGTCTTTAGCAGGGAAGACGCAACGTTGGGCACCTCCATGCAGTTACCAAGGCAGAGGGCAGCATTGCCCACCAGAACCTCATCCTCCGAGCTGAGTAGCTTCATCATAATGCTCAACTCTGTAGGAAAGGAAGAGAACAAGCAACAGCTCCTTCAAATCCCAAAACAGGACGCTGGCAACAGGACAGGAGGGGCGCTGTCAACAGACTCTGAGCTTCCCCAGTAACTCTGCAGCAGAACCTATTCACTCACTCCTCAGCAAACATTCACTGAATGCATAGGAACCTCCTCAACTCCTTGCTGAATCTCTGAAGTGTCCCGGGTTCCCAGAGCACTGCCCAGCACAACACAGTTGTTAGATGAATGAACGCTATGTGTCAGACAGGTCTGTCTTCTCAAAAGCCCCTGTTCTCAGCCTCTCACTGCACCAGGGTGAGAGGCCCCATCTGACAGCCCCCAGGTGGGAGGCAATGTGCCCGCAACCTATACCTGCAGGGCATGAAACAGTTCCAGAAGAAAGTTCCTGCTTCCATGGTGGAGCCTCCTTCAGTTCACCTTCTGTGCATTCCAGGGAGTTGGTAAAAAGCACATTAGCAGGCTGCCTCTCCTATGAAGCCTACTGTGAAAAACTACGGCTGGTGCAAGTTACTAGGCTAAAGGTAGGCTCAGACTCTGATATTCCCCTTGTTCACTAAACGTTGAAGGTGTTTTCCCCGCCCTCCTCCTGTGAAGGCAGAGAACTGAACTCGGTAAGAGAAGGGAGTTTCCTAGCTTGGACCCTGTTATCTTTGAGCCGTCTAGATTCTCTCCTGTCTAGAGTCTACATCTGTGCAGCCAAAAGGCTAATTAAATGCTTTCAGATGTGGAGGTGAAACATCTTGTTCTGTAAACACTGAAGTCTGGGAGTGGTCAGCAGCATTGCTGATAAGTTCTTCCTCGGCCACAGTTCCCTTTGCAGCTTCAACGGTGGATGAACCTCTGGGACAAGGGCTTTCTTAAGGAAATCGTCACTTACTGTTATCCAGTCTTACTACTTCTTCCCGAGCTTCATGATAACTATTCGTGCAGATGGCTAGTATCTTTACAGCATAACGTGACGCAGTCTCGCCTCCTGTCTAGATTTCAGAATGAAATTAGAAAAACAAAATCAGTGCTATGATTGCTCTTGACCAGAAGCCACAGAGAACAGTTATTATAGTGCTAGTGGCTTCCTAAACTCTGAAAAGAGAATTCCACTGAGAAGGGCATATGCTTCCAGCATCCTCTCTAACCCCACCCTCACCCCTGACAGGAGTGCAGGCCTGCCATGTACACCTGAGTAATTGCCTCTGGAGGGCTTTTTTAGCAAATGGCTGAGAAGAGAATGATGCTGATGAATGGCAGATCTACCAAAAAGGGAGGAAAAGGCCCTCCCATGTCATTTTACCATTCGAGAATGAGGACTGACTTACTAAGACTGTCAGGCTGACAGTCCTGCATGGAGAACATCAGGAACCTAGATCATTTTAAGAGGTGACAACAGTCAAACATAGCCCTTACCATCACCTACGTGGTGTCTTTAAAAGGCATGTGTGCACGTATGCATGCATGCATGGGTATGCATGTCATCAGCAGTTTTTGGTGGGTTTGCAAAAGTCATAATAAATGATAGTCATTGTTCAAGTGGCAGCCTAAACTCAGACCCCCTGTGCTGCCTCCTTGCCCCACAGCAGCCCCCAGCGCATGCTTCCCTGCCCCACTCTGCCTGATGCTTTATGAATAAAAGCCATGTGTCACCACACTAACATGTGTGCACAGACCTCATGGGCACATACATCATAGGTGGGATTCTGAGATGGCAGCCTAATCATCCTCCTCACCCTTGCAGGTGAATCCAGATAACTGGTCTACTGACTTGCTTAGATTCACTGCACTCATTTCATGGGGAAATCCCAACATCCTTTGGTTACATGGTAATTCTGCAGGCTACATGTCTCATAGATGGAGTTCCATCCAGCACTCTCCAGATAACTATATAAAGCATCATGAGCAGTAAAACCTGATCAAAACAATGTGCCTGAGAAACGTAACAGAAAGCCACTCAGATCATTTTTTTTTTTTCAAGAACAGAGGCCATATATTTTAAAGTTAGGCTTGAGGGGTAAGCAGTTTTTAATAGATGTAGCTAATGAACGATTTTCTTATTTATTCAACAATCTGTTGTTGATGTTCAGAGTATGGTCTGAGTAGACAGGCAGAAGCAAATCCCTATCCAAGAAGTTTAAAATCTCGCGAGGGAGAAATGGCAGCACATTGATCAAACAAATCCCACCTTAATACTGTTCGCCGAATAAAGTGGGAGACTTCTGTACATTTCAGAGGTTGTAACCAATAATGTTATTTTACCTTCAGGAATTTAATCATTTTCTTTATCACTCCTGCTCGCAAGGCCTCCTCAACAATTTTCAGAGAGGAAGAAAGGGTCCGGCTCAGAACACCAGCAGCTCTCTGAGTACAGCAGAAAGAGGATAATTAAATGTCCTTTTCAGAACTGCTGACAACATTTAAAAGTTAACAGGGAGTTTGGTGAGGCAAAAGGCCATCATTAATATTGGAAGCAAAATATAAAAAATATGATGGCCAAATAATAGCAAGCACTGTTCTTTTTAATAAAACTATAAAGGAGCTGTAACCATTGCCCCTTGCTACCGAAAGGCCCATATTATTTCAGCCTCACACAGGAGCAACTAGTTTAACTCTGAGAAAGGAAGTTCTCCCTTGGGATTCCTTCCAGCGCTCTGATTTCAGCAGGCCCTTTATTAGGAAATGTTTGACTTCCTGGGTTGGTCTTCTGTGTCTTTTGTCTTCATTTCTCTGATCTTTGTCTTTTGTTCTATTTTCTGCGATACTTCATTTACCTTATTTCCCAGCTCTTATTTCCTTTTTTAAATAAATAAATGGCAAGCTGTTACTGTTTTATGGATATAACTATCTTAAATCTTTCTCAGGATACAAATGATAGTTATTATTTTTTTCTTCTGTTTCCTATATCATCTCTATTTCTTTTGGATTAATTTTTACGTTTATCTTGATTTTCCTGTTTATGTGTGTGGTTTTCCTGCAGTGTCTGGTGACCCTTATCTGCCCAATCACATGTACAAAAAAGGCAATAAAAATATGTTTGGGCATGCCATGTTTATGGGAAGTTTGGTGACTGAAAGGTAGAGAGGTAGCACGCCCATATACTAGAAAGAAAAATGTTTTCTCTAGATTTTCACTTCTTTAGAGATAAAAATGTTCTGATTTTATGCTTGGAGGATGGATGCCTGCAAGCAAACACAGCTCCACTGCCTCATACTTGCTTTCTATTGTACTGGGAATTTTGAAACCTTGATCCTCTTCAGGGTATTATAAGGCAAACCTGCTACACTGCCCAGCGACATATTCCTCCATCTGTACTCTACAAGAAGGTTTCCTCAGCCCTGCCTCACTAATTATCACCCTTGCAGCTGTTCTCCATCTTCAGAAAACTTGTTATAATTACTTACCTATTGGTAACTACTTGCCTGTTTACCGTCAACGTAGGTCTCTACTTTTTTTTCCTTCAATGGCTTTAATCTCATTTTAATGAGGTCTCCAGAGGGAGAAAAGATAAACTTGTGTATTATCAAGTTTGTTTCCCTAATCTGCTTCCTAAAGATCCTAGAATTTTGCAATAGCTGACACCATGGATCCCTTTTCAGGCCCAAGGCAGTGGAGACTGTTGCTAGACAAGGACCAGATGCCCATGGTGAAGCTGCTGCCCTGCTCAGCAAGCTGGGAAGCACCCAGGGTGGCACATGTGGAATTCTGAGGAAATCTGGCTCGGGCTCCCCTAAAGGTTTACTCAGGGACTAGTAAACTCCACCTTTAGATCTGGACCATATGAGAATGGTGGTGCTTACCACTTTGGGGGTCATGGACCTCTTTTGAGGATCTGATGAAAGCTATGATGCCCCTTCCATGAAAATGAACACTCACTTAAAATTGTCTGCCCAGTTGCAGGGGATTCCAGGAACGCAATGATGAAGCCCATGTTAAAAACCTTTGCCCTATCCTGTCTGAATTGACTTTGGGGACGTTTTGAGAGTGGTACCCGCAAACAAGGTATGTTGGATCTACTCAGAACCTTTTTTTAAATTGTGGAGCCAGTCCTCAGCCTGCAACTGTTGAAAGGCTGGTTTCCCAAACCCACCCTAGATGTGGCCGTAATTGCGTCTCTAGGGGTTTGGGCCCTGCCCTGACAGGGAGAAAAACAGGGGTGTTCACTAAGGTGAGTGAAGAACATATTCTAGGGTGATGGCAAATAGCCTCTTGAATCATACTAATATTCTTTTCCTGATGCACTGTGCTAACATATAGGCCTTTCTCAGTTTTCTTATCCAAATGTCAGACACAGAATTGAGAAAGCCATTCCAGCATATATTTTAAACAGAGACGAAAACTATTATGCACAAACAACCTCTAGGACCACTGGCTTAAAACATGGACCTGGCTTTTTTTTTTGCCATGGAAAAAAGGGATTCCAAATAAGTTGGACACTTGATCTGTCCAATTTGCAAAGGATATTTTGAAATAGGACAAAATATATCCTCTAAGCTGGTTAAATTTCAGACCATACAGAAAAGGGATTCTTAAGTCGGGCTCCTAGACTCTAGGGGATCCACAGATGATGCGCACTGCAAGGAGGTCATCAAATTCCTGAAACTGTAGACAAAACCTGATATCTATGTGTTTGTGTGCATTATTCTGAACAGTATATCCATACCATATCTTGGAGAGTCACCGGATTCTCAAAGGTGGCAGCTTCAAAAAGATTAAGGACCATTGATAATAAAATAAGACAAAACAGAAAGAACAATGGAAGCTACTTCTGGATTTCCCTGGGAGAAACTTACTGTCAGGATTCCTCCATCCTGGCTGTTTAGTAGAGATAGGCACCTTCTGCTCACCTCCACAGCCCAAACCTACAACAATGGGGAGAGGCCAGGAGGTGATTGTAATTTCCTGGCAATCTGAATTCTCGGTGGAGCTTCTTCTGAGCACCCCTCCTTTTTAGCACCACCACACTGTGCTCAGGTTCCCTCATGACACTGGCTTTTACTGCTCTTATTCCTTCCTATGTCTATCTCCCCTAACTCCAGAGCATTTCCTGATAGCAGGAACCACCTTTTATTTGACTTTGTGAACGCAGCACCTCACACTCTGCTTAGTACACCCTGGATACTCAGTCTGTTTTCTGAGTGAATACGTGACTGAGTGACCCATCCACCCCTCAGCAGAGCAAAGGGAGAGTGCATCCCTCCAGCTTTCCCCATTCCATGGCCAGTGTGTCAGTGTACATGCTTCTGTTCTTTTTGTGAACATGCGAACGGTTTTATGCCACAGAATGTGTGCAGGTTGTCCCAGGGTTTCAGGCAGGGAGACGGAATGCCATACCTCAGAGACAAAGGGAGCCTGAAGACACAGGTTCATCAGGAGTCCCAGGAGTGTGTAGATAACCTCTCTGAACAGGTCCACATCCTCCTCACACCTGGCCTTGAGAAACAAAACAAGGTAACCAATGACCTTTCTGCCTTACAGGTTTTTATGGTCACCTTTACCCTTGGACAAGGATCTCAGAGTTAACCCACTCTCTAAATTGCCAATATCATGAACCTAATGATGTTGGAAGATCAGAGACTAGTTCCATGAGTTCATGTTAGTCGAGGAGACTTAGAAGGAGTCTCTGGTGCTTCTGCCATGGAACTATGGCTCAGTTTGTTCCTGGGCTTAAAGTGAAGAGTGAGCTGCTGAGATGGGTGATCATTCAACTCCACCAGAAACATTTTTCAAATTGGGATCAGGCAAGATGGCTGACTAGACACAGCCAGGTGGGACAGCTCCCATGAGGGACAGAGACAACTGGCGTGGTCCTTACAGATCTTCAGAGGGAAGGCATTGAGAGTAGATGGAGAGAAGACACAGAAGCAGGAAGGAATGGGAGTAACTGGGAACCCTGCATGGGGGTCCTATGTACCGAGGCTTGTTATTGGCCCCCAAAGCCTCTGGGGGAATGAGTAAGTTGAACTGGCAAAGAGCAACCTGATCTCATAATGGGCCTCTGGAACCCTGGCAGGAGAAATCCCCTCAACCACCACAGACCCTCATGGAGTTGGCAGAGAGAGCTGCTTAGAGAAGCGGTAGGGTTGGCAAGCCAGCTGATGTGGAGCCCAGAGGGCTGGGTGTGGTAGTGTCTGTAGTGGCGCATGGCCCCGGACAACTATCCCCCTAGGCTCAACTTACTCCCATACGAGACTTTAGCCCTAGGGGAACTGTCAGACCTGAAATCTGCAGGGTAGCCTTGCCCATCAGACAGGGCCAGTCTAACTTGAGGACATCTTGCTCTGTTGGCCTCTTCTGGGGCCCCAGCCTGGCCACACATGCTTGCTGAGCAGTCTCGAGGACCCTGGGGGCCGGCACCATAGTTTCTAAACTGGTGGACCATGGCTGATCAGTGGAGAGCTCCAGGAGGGTACCCCTATCACCACACACCAGCCCACATGCTCCCTCTCCACACTACAACTTCCCCTGGGCCCAGGGCAGCTCCCCACATCACTTTGCTGGTGAGTATCTGCTTTCCTTGGGGAAGAAAGGGCAGGTTTTGCTTTCCTTGCCCTGCCAGAGCATGGGAGTGCAGTCCTGCTCCTCCTCTTCCCTCTGACCACCATTTCAGATGGAGTCTTGGTGGGCATAGAGCCAGCCATCCCACCCCTGTCAGCATCTTGCATTAGTGCTAGCTTGGCAAAGAGTACAGTGGATCCTTCCCCCTCTAGGAGCAACCTCCACTGCTTGAGAGGCACAGAGAAGGCACAACTTTCAGCATGACCATGTACACAGTCACTAGCAGGGACCCTCTTCCCTCAGGGTGGCACTGTGGCAAACACCTGCAGAGAGTCAGGCACCCTGGCACCCACTAGCACCCTGCCACAGGTCTTCCGCTGCTGTTGGCATGAGCAAACAAGTTGAGTTCCCACTGTCACCACATTATGAAATTCTTGGGCTAACACCACCTATTGAAGTGTAGTGACCAGAGGTTCAGAATCACCTTGGCTCCCCCAGTGTGGTGTATGCTTAACCTAGAGGAGACAGAAAACAAAGTCAAGGCCCAATAAAAGTCCCCTAGAGTTACAGCATCCAGTCTAAGAGTTGGGAGCTGAATACTGACCCCCTAAAATCTTCCAGAAACAAAGCCAGTCAGCTGACTCCACCTTATACCACAATAAAACCCTCAAGGTCATCAAATAGGATAAAGGAAAAAAAATTATCCAAAGGTCAGCAATCTCAAAGATTGACATTAGAGAAACCAACAAAGATGAGAAACAATCCACACAATAAACCTGATGATTCAAGAAGTCAGAATGCCTTCTTTCTTCCAAACAACCACAACACCCCTCATCAAGGGTTCTAAACCTGGCTGACATGGCTAAAATGACAGAAACAGAATTCAGAATATGAATAGGAATGAAGTTCATTGAGTTACAGGAGTACATTGAAACCCACACGAAGAAAGCCAGAATCATAATAAAACAATGAAGGAGCTGACAGACAAAATGGCCAGTATAGAAAAGAACATAACCAACCTGATAGAGCTGAAAAACCACACTAGAAGAATTTCACAATGCAGTTACAAGTGTTAACAGCAGAATAGATCAATCAGAAGAAATAATCTCACACCTTAAAGACAGGCTTTCTGAAATAAGATAGGAATAGATAAAAAAGAATAAAAAGAAATGAGTAAAAGCTCTGAGAAATATAGAATTCTGTAAAGAGACCCAATCTACATCTAACTGATGTCCCTGAAAGATGGGAAGAATAGAACCAATGTGGAAAACATATTTCAGGATAACATCCATGAGAACTTCCCCAACCTAGCTAGAGAAGTCAACATTCAAATTCAGAAATGCAGAGAACTCCAGTAAGATACTCATAAGAAGATCATCCCCAAGACATATAATCATCAGATTCTCCAAGGTCGATATGAAAGCAAAAATACTGAAGGCAACTAGAGAGAAAGGTCAGATCACTTACAAAGGAGAGTTCATCAGACTAACAGCAGATCTCCCAGCAGAAACCCTACAAGCCAGAAGAGATTGGAGGCCAATATTCAACATTCTTAAAGAAAAGAGATTCCAACCCATAATTTCATTTCTGGCCAAACTAAACTTTGTAAGTGAAAGAGAAATAAGCAAATGCTAAGGGAATTCATTACTACCAGACTTGCCTTACAAGAGTTCCTGAAGGAATCACTAAATATGGAAAGAAAAGACCATTACCAGCCTTTACGAACACACACTGAAGTGCATAGACCAGTAACATTATAAAGCAACCACATAAATAAATCAGCAAATAAGCATCTAACATCATGATGACAGGATCAAATCTACACATACCAATACTAACCTTGAATGTAAATGGGCTAAATGTCCCAAGAAACACAGTTGCAAGTCAGATAAAGAACCAAGATCCATTGGTATGCTGTCTTCAAAAAACCCATCTCACAAGCAATGATACACATAGGCAAAACAACAGGAGGGAGAAAAATCTACCAAGAAAATGGAAAAGAGAAATAAAGCAGGGGTTTCAGACAAAACAGACTTTAAACATCCCAGTTTCAGACAAAACAGACTTTAAACCAATGAAGACCAAAAAAGACAAAGAAGGGCATTGCACATATTGGTAAGGGGTTCAATTCAACAAGAAGATCTGACTATCCTAAATAATTATGCACCAAACACAGAAACATCCAGATTCATAAAGCAAGTTCTTAGAGACCTTCAAAGAGACTTAGTCTGCCACAAAATAATAGCAGGAGACTTTACCACCCCACTGACAATATTAGATCACTGAGAGAGCAAATTAACAAAGATATTCAGGACCTGAACTTAGCACCAGATCAAATGGGCTTGATGTACATACACAGATTTCTCCATCTGAAAACAACAGAATATACATTCTTCTCACCATCATGTAGTACATACTCTAAAATCAATCATACTCGGAAGTAAAATGCTCCTTAGCAAATGCAAAATAACTGAAATCCTAATACTCAAATTAGAAATTAAGACTAAGAAATGCACTCAAAACTACATAATTACATGGAAATTGAACAACTTGCTCCAGAATGACTTTGAGTAAAGAAAGCAGTTAAGGCAGAAATCAAGAAGTTCTTTGAAACTAATGAGAACAAAAATACAGCATACCAGAATCTCTGGGACACAGGTAAGGCAGTGTTAAGAGGGAAATTTATAGCACTAAATGCCCTAACAGATATTTCTAACAAAAATTTAGAAATATCTCATGTTAACAACATACCACCACAACTAAAACAACTAGAGAACCAAGAGCAAACAAATCCCAAAGCTAGCAGAAGACAAGAAGTAACCAAAATCAGAGCTGAACTGAAGGAGACTGAGACACACACACACACACACACACACACACACACACACAAATCCTTCGAAAGGTCAACAAATCCTAAAGCTGGTTTCTTGAAAAAAATAATAAAATAGATAGATCACTAGCTAGACTAAAACACAGAAAGAGAGAATATGCAAATAGACACAATCAGAAACAACAAGGGCATATCACCACTGACCCCATAGAAATACAAACAACCATCAGAGTATATTATGAACACCTCCATGTACATAAACTAGAAAATCTAGAAGAAATGAATAAATTCCTGGACACATACACTATCCAAAGACTGAACCAGGAAAAAATGGAATCCCTGGACAAACCAACAATGAGCTCTGAAACTGAGTCAGTAATAAATAGCCTACCAACCAAAAAAAGCCCAGTACCAGCCAGATTCACAGTTGAATTTTACCAGATGTACAAAGAAGAGGTGGTACTATTCCTGCTAAAATGATTCCAAAATATCAAGGAGGAGGGATTCCTTCCTAACTCATTCTATGAGACCAGCATCATCCTGATTCCAAAACCTGGCAGAGACACAGCAAAAAAAGAAAACTTCAGGCCAAAATCCTTGATTAACATTGATGCAAAAATCCCCAACAAAATACTGGCAAACTGAGTCTAGCAGCACATCAAAAAGCTTATCCACCACAATCAAGTGGGCTTTATCTCTGGGATGCAAGGTTGGTTCAACATATGCAAATAGATAAATGTGATTCATCACATAAACAGAACTAACAACAAAAACCATGTGATTTCAATAGATGCAGAAGAGGCTTTTGATAAAATTCAACACTTCTTCATGTTAAGAACTCTCAATAAACTAGGTACTAAAGGAACACACCTCAAAATAATAAGAACCTTCTATGACAGACCCACGGCCAACATCATACTAAATGGGCAAAAGCTGGAAGCACTCCCCTTGAAAAGTGGCACAAGACAATGATGCCCTCTCACACCACATGTATTCAACAGAGTATTAGAAGTCCTGGCCATGGCAATCAGGTAAGAGAGAAAAATAAGGGGCAACCAAAGAGGAAAAGAAGAAGTCAAACTATCTCTGTTTGTAGATGACATGACCCTGTATCTAGAAAAATCCACAGTCTTAGGCCAAAAGCTCCTTAAGCTGATTAACAACTTCAGCAATGTCTCAGGATACAAAATCAACACACAAAGATCACCAGCATTCTTATATACCAGCAACAGGCAGACCGAGAGCCAAATCAGAAATGCAGTCCCATTTCTAATTGCCATCAAAAGAAAATACCTAGGAATACAGCTAACCAGGGAGGTGAAAGATCTCCAGAAGAACCACAGAACGCGGCTCAAATAAATCATATATGACACAAACAAATGGAAAAACATTCCGTGTTCATAGATAGAAAGAATCAATATTGTTAAAATGGCCATACTGCCTAAAACAATATATAGATTCAATGCAATTCCTATTAAACTATCATTTACATTCTTCACAGAACTAGAAAAAGCTATTTTAAAATTTGTATGGAATCAAAAAGGAGTCTGAATAGCCAAGGCAATCTTAGGCAAAAGGAGCAAAGCTGGAGGCATCACGTTACCTGACTTTGAACTATACTATAGTTACCAAAGCAGCATGGTACTGGTATAAAAACAGACGCATAGACAAATGGAACAGAATAAAGAACCAGAAATAAGACCATATACCTAAAACATCTGATCTTTGATAAACCTGTTAAAAACAAGCAATGGGGACAGGATTCCCTATTCAATAAATGCTGCTGGGATAACTGGCTAGTTATGTGCAGAAGATTGAAACTGGACCCCTTCCTTACACAATACATGAAAATCAGCTCAAGATGGAATAAAACCTTAATTGTAAAATCCAAAACTATAAAAACCCTAGAAGATAACCCAGGCAATACCATTCTACACACAGGAATGAGCAAAAATTTCATGACAAAGACACCAAAAGCAATCACAACCAAAGCAAAAATGGACAAATAGGATCTAATTGAAGAGCTTCTGCACAGCAAAGGAAATTACCAACAGAGTGAACAGACAACCTACAGAATGGGAGAAAGTTTTTGCAAACTATGCATCTGACAAAGGTCTAATATCCAGTATCTATAAAGAACTTAAACAAATTTACAAGAGAAAAATAAACTATCCCATTAAAAAGTGGGCAAAGAACATGAAGAAACACTTTCTGAAAGAAGACATACAAGTGGCCAACAAGTACATGAAGAAAAGCTCAACATCATTGATATCATTAGTGCAATGCAAATCAAAACCACAAGATACCATCTCACACCAGTCAGAATGGTGATTACTAAAAAGTCAAAAAATAACAGATGCTGGCAAGGCTGCAGAGGAAAAGGAACTGCTGGTGGGAGAGTAAAGTAGTTCAATCGCTGCGGAAAACAGTGTGGCTATTTCTCAAAGACCTAAAACAGAGATACCATTTGACCCAGCAATCCCATTAATGGGGACATACCGAAAGGAACAGAAATCTTTTTATTATAAAGACACATGCCCGCATATGTTCACTGCAGCACTATTCACAATAGCAAAGACATGGAATCAACCTAAATGCTCATCAATGATAGACTGGATAAAGAAAATGTGCTACATATACACCATGGAATACTATGCAGTCATAAAAAGAATGAGATTATGTCCTTTGCAGGAACATGGTGAAGCTAGAGGCTATTATCCTTTGCAAATTAATGCAGGAATAGAAAACTAAGTACCACGTGTCCTTCCTTATACGTGAGTGCTAAAAGATGAGAACACATGGACACATAAAGGGGAACAACACACACTGGGGCCTGCCAGAAGGTCGGGGGTGGGAGGAAGAGGGAGAGGATGAGGAAAAATAACTAATGGGTACTAGGCTTAATACCTGGGTAACAAAATAATATGTACAACAAACCCCCATCACACAAGTTTACTTATGTAAGAAACCTGCAAATGTACCCCTGAACTTAAAAGTTAAATAATAAATAAATAAATAATTTTAAAAAATTAAAAAAGAAAATCCTTCCCCAGGGCTAACGAAACTTGATCTGTGGGGCTGTTTAAGGCTGGTAGTGCATAAAGTCTACAGTTACAGAAGGGATAAGCCACTGCACCATTCCAGCATCTACAGAAACAGAATTTTTGGAAACACCAGACAACTAAGAAGCAGCTAATATCCCCAAAGAGGATAAAGAGCAATTTTGAATAGAAAAGCTAACATACCATGAGGCTCAAGCAGCCATCCCCAAATTCCTCACAGGCTGTCATGTGTCTTCGGGTGGCAGGCTCAGCACTGAGGTTTCCCATGATGGCAATGCACTGGCACAGAGCCGAGGAGCTGCTTACCTTGGGATCTCTCTTCTAAATGAGAATCAGGAGAAGGCAGAGCCTCAGAGGGCAGGCAAAGGATGTCGCATGACCTCTAGGTGGGTCCCTCACTCACCAAAAGGTCCGTGAACCAACTAGATAGCTTCATGTCAAACAGGAGCATCCCTAGGGTCACACTGGCAACAAAATGGAGGCACATAGAGGGGTAGATCCAAAAGGGTCTTGGCCTAGGGCTTAATCCCAGCTCCTCCACCAACCAGCTGGGAGGACTTGGACAAGTCCCTTCCCTTCTCAGAGGCTCCATTTCCACAGCTGTGACATACTGGGGTGTGGTTATGCTCTTCTAGGGCCCCTGAAACTTCTAAGGTTCAGTAGGGACAGGCTCCAGTTGCAACACACTCTCCATGGAGAACCCCTGCCCCCCCCGTCATTCAGTGCTTTATCAGCTCAAATTGCTACACTAGTTTTCCTGACAGGATGACTTCCATTCAGCAGACAGGGTTACACAGCGTAATTAGTGTCAGCAGGGGACTGATGGAGACTGACGGACTCTATCCACCTTCCCTTACAACGTCACCCACATCCAGCTTTTCCTCCCCTGTAACCAGCACCATCCATATGCCACCTCCACCTGTCCCTCCTGTAGTTGTTTCAATAACTGAGAATTGTGTAAATTCCAGCTGTTAATAAATGATTAATCAACCGAGAGACAATAGTTGTTCTAGATTGTAAATTGTGTTTAAACAGTCCCATTCATGCACCTGAGAGTGTCTGTCACAGAGGATGAAAATGAGGGTTTGCTCACCAGAACGCCTGTGAGTGCAGGGAGAACACCTGGAAGGTTGGCCTGGTACCAGACTTGGAGCCTGTTGAGAAACCATCAGACAGGATTTATTTTTACATTGCATAAACTATAACATAAATACAGCGTCTCAGATAATTAATGTTGCAGGCACTTGCAAACTCTAGGCCCATGTGATTTAGAGTGTGCATGGACAATAAAGAACCAAAAAAAGAAAAAAGCATGTCACTGTGTATGTAATGTGGCTGTAATTGTTCTAAGTCTGGAGAATTGCTTTTGATGCGAAACAACAGATCTCAGATGGCAGCTCCCATAAGCAGGAGTTGCTGGAATCTCTAGGCTTCTGCCAAGCTGACTTACCCCCCAATCCCTGCTCTGAGTCTACAGCATGTGTGTGCTGTGCAGAAGGCAAATACCATGCAAGCAGGTTTACCCTTCGGAGCCTCTCCACACGCTACAGCCACTGTTCCATACCCCAGCCCATGCCAGCTGGCTGGCCTGCCTGTGAGCACAAGCAGCTCTCTCATCCCATTACCATCTCTAAGCAAGGTGTCCTACAGTTTGTGAGGAAATTTAAAACACAAGATGAACTTTAGAAAAAGCACTTGAAAAATTATTAAAACTAAGATCTTTACTATCACCCCCAGTAGCTAAGCAAAACAAAACAAAACAAAGCAGCACAAAGCCACGGGGCAGAAGGAGATCATTATTTATGACGTCACTGGCAACCCCAGAGGAGGCTGCATTTGACTGTTCATTCTTGCTTGCTGGCTTGCTCAAGTTTTTTCAATGCAAATTTGCTGGGCAGCTCCTATGTGCCAGGCACTGATTAGGAAGGAGGAAGCTTCCCGACACTTGGGAGGCTTCCCTACTGTCAGAGGCACTGCTTTAAGTATGCGGCTGCTTCCAAACCCATGGAGGCCCAGGTCAGCCTCTACACAGAGTAACTAGAATGGGAGTAGTTGGCCTCGGCCCCTTGGGAGGCATCAGCCCTCCTACTCAGTGAATCCTGCAATACTCACTTGGAGACTTGGCCTCTCCAAATATGACACATTTTTAAAGATCAGACAGTTCAACAAAGACTGAAGAAGAAATGTCAGTCTCTATAAATAAAAAAATTACCTTTCTTCCAGAGCCAAGTCTGTGAACAGTCCCATAGCAGTGTCAGCCTCCTTATCCGAGAAATCAAGAAATGACACCAGGGCTTCCAACAATCTGCAAAAACCCATAATAACCTCAGAGGTAGCTGTCCTCCAACTAACAACATCCCAACAGGGTAACCTTGCAAGGAAACCAAAATGGAGTCCGCACCTGGGTGAAATAAGCAGAAAGGGTGCCTTGCCGCGCCCTCCTAGGAAGCACAGCTCCTTACCCACCCAGACACAGATACTCTTAGGTGGTTGGCTCCACCATTTAATGTGAATCCCCAGAAGGTTGCATACTTTTAACCAAAGTTTATTGATTATCGGACGCCAGCTCAGAAGGAGTTTCTGTGACTCAACCATGTGACTCTGGCTCAGTCAAGTTCATTAACTTAGATGACATCTAAATGGCATGCTTACTAATCTGCTGATGACTAAAGTGGGAGGGCCCCCTAATAAGGTGGGTGACGGAATAAAGATTTAACAAGATTGTGACAGGCTGCTGAATATATTAGATTAAATTTAATAGGGTTAAACTCAAAGTCCTCCACTTAGAGCTGGCAATTCTGCATAAGTAACAGAATTGTGAGACCTGGTTTATAACTGGTTCATATAAGAAAGATTTAAGGATTTTTAGCCACTTACAAACACAAGATGAACAAACAATCTAGCACAGCTGCCAGAAAACACCTGCTGCAATCTCAGGCTGCCCAAACGGACTTATTGGCACCACGACAATGGAAATAAGAGTAATTTGTTTATCCAGCCAGCTTGTATTAAATGTCTATAACGTGCTAAGTATACTGTGCTCAGTGCTGAGCTCCGGGTTTCCTACAGTGATACACATGCAAATAAACAAGTAAGATAAACTGTCTTAAGTGATATGTTAGAGACAGACACATGTTGAGAGGACCAGAGTCTCGCCAGTGGGAGGTGTGGGGATGGAGGTGAAGCAGCCTTCAACAGATGACATTTCAGGGTCTCTAAAGTGTAGGGTTAGCTATTCATTCGTTTATTCATTTGACCAATCACAATGAATAAGCCCTGACTGTGTGCCAGGCAATGTGGTCAGTTCTGGGGTCACAGCAATTAAACAAGACAATGTCCTAGCTCCAGGCAGCTTGCAGGCCAGCATCGCGTTGGGCCGTTGGGGACGCGTGCAGAGCAAGTCAGGCAAAGCGGCCTGCATTCACAGACCATGAGGCATAGAGTAGCAGGAGTACATTTGGGGACTGCTGGCATGCTTAGGGTGAGAGGGGAGGACAGGGGGCGGTAGAGAGCTGGACAGAGCCCAGATCCTGGGGCCTTCTAGAGCCTGCTGGAAAGTCTGTGCTTTGCTTCGTAGGCCCCTGTTCTCCAATGTGTGGTTGGTGGTGGGGGCCTCAGGGACAGATTCCTTAGTCAGTCTGAGTGTGAGGAGGCTGCTTTTTCATTAAGTCCTAGCCATTATATTTTGCAGTAATTGGAGAACTAGCCTTATGAGGAATAGAGAGTCATTTCAGTGTGTTAAGTAGGAAAATAGCAGAACAGACGTGCATTTTGGAAAAATCCCTTTGGCATACAGTGGAGGCTGGGTTGGAGCAGGTCATACAGGAGGCAGGAATTCAACCTGGGGAGAACTGTGAAGAACTGTGATTGTCCAGACAATAAACCCTACGGGAGCAGACTGAGGCAGCAGCAGAGTAAGAGGTACAGTAAAAAACAGACACTCATGAAGACCTGGAAGGAATGACTGGAGACAGTAGAGGACAATACATCCGAATCATCAAAGGAATGATGGATGGAACAAGAATGGTTAACCTGGAATATATCAATATTTTCAGATATGTAACACACTGGAAATCTGGGAGGAGTCTGGACCTGGGCCTTAATGTAGGGAGGCAGGATCAGTCCTAGAATAGTATGAGGCAGGCAGCTTGTGCACAGTGTAAGGAGATGATTTATGTCAATCAGAACTGTCCTAAAATGGGATGGGCTACCTTGGGAGGTGAGACCCACAGCTTCTCACTAACTGGGGAGAGACTTCCTCCACCCAGTCCATTAGCTGCATTACTGCCCATCCCGAACCAAATGTAGGTAAAAATAATGAAAGCACTGGCATGTCCCCTGGAGGGCATGATGCACAGGCTGCACACGGGTGCGCAGAGGAATCTATGCTGAATGGGGCTTGACCGGCTGGTTCCTGAGGGCCCAGGTGACGCCGAGCTTCTGCAAATCCCTAACATCTTCAGGAATGGACTCCAGTGCTCCTGCTGTCAGAAATAATTTATTTGTTTTACACTTAGTTCAGATTCAGCCTATTTTCTTCGGTCTTGAAGATGAATACTAATAAGCCTGAATAGCACAGAAGATGAGACCGCAGTCTCATCTTGGTTTTGTCCTGGGAGACATAAGCAGCTAGGCCCCCTCACCATGTGACAAAGCACACAGCCGAAGCGGACTCAGGACCTAGAGAAGACTGCATAGCTCTTTCTACTTCCTCACATCCCTTCTTTTTTGTGGCAGATTTTTTTGCTCTGCTTAGAAGCAGCTGTCTCTGTGAGTGAACCACAGGTCAGAAAATGCTTTCATGTAACCAGTAAATGCACGGTTACTTTAATTTAGGACCCTGAACAAATACCCTACCCTGAGAGAAAAATGATTATAAGTGTTATTGAGCCCCTCTCATGCCATGTGTCAGGCCTGATACTTGATGTTAGTTGCTTTTTTTTTTTTTTTTGCTGTAGGAGATGCTGTTTGCAGGCTAACTCCACATTCTCCGCTCCCTTCTATTCTTCCTGACTCTACTACAGAGGAAGCTAGGACGATTTTTTTTCCACCAGGGGTAGCATGTGACACAATTCTGTCCAAAGAGAAATAGGCAGTAGCTTTTCTTGATAAAAGGGACAGATTCAGCTAGTGTTGACCTGTCTTAAAGAAGGATGTGAAGCTTGGAGCTGCAGCGAGGAGGAAGGTATGACCACGTGGGGAAGGTCAGGAGAAGGATGGGACTTTGACCTCGACATCTTTAAGTCACTGCACCAACAGTTGCTATCTTTAGCCTCGTTTTATTAGGTGACAAAACAAGCCAGGCTTAAGCTATTTTGCCTAAGCTTCTTTTGTTCAAGTATTCTGCACAATGCGGCAGCAAAAAATTCAACTGACATAGCTGCATCACCCCCCGCCCCGTGTCATCATAAGTGAGGGTGCAGATGACACATGGGGCCCATCAATGCTAAGTCACTTTCCTGGGTCACACAAGCAGAGACATGCAGGGAATTTAAGCTCAGTACTACTTAAGACTAAAACCCAGCACTTTTTACAAAATGACACGGGCCCTTGGCCAGCACATATTCGTCCCTTCAACCTCTCCTAGGAGGATAAGCACTGTGGGTGGAATGTGATACGTGAGCTGCCGTGACAGTCATGGGACTATTTGCATCTCTGTTTTGATTCAAACTGCCTCATTTCATCACAGAGAACCCATTCTTTCTGGTTCAACTGGAGATGAACGGTAAGGAGGCTAGTAGGCATAAAGGTAAAAACCTGAGGTTTCTCTGTCTAAAGAGAGTAGGCAGGACCACATGAGGTGATTGTGAAAGCCACTCTCCGAGACACCGGAAAAATTCACATTGAAACTCAAGCAATTCAAAGACAGCTTGAGGGGAAAAGCTCATGATAGCTATAGCTACATTTACTCAGAGACAAAAACCATATTAAAAAATTATGATGAAGGTATTGAGGAAATGACTGCAGAGTCATTTGAAATGTGAAATGTGCTTTTGGAGAATTTAACTCCACTAACAATCTGCATCTGCCATGAGGCCTGAGCTTCAGGAAGTTGCCAAAGCCTTTCCTGGGAGCCACTGAGGCTGTGACTGGGCCCAGAAGGGGAGCCATAGGCAAGGCTTAATAGCCACCCTGGCACAGGCACACACAGAGCTCCACACCAAACTGAACAGCGTGGGAGGGCTCAGCAGGGTCCCCAAAAGATCTGGCAGGAACAAGAGCCAGTCGCAGCAGGTTTGGCTCTTTTTCCTGCTGGGAAGACAGAGCGGAGCTGGGTCCTCGGAGCAGTGCCTGGGGGCCGGGCTCGCTGGGGGAGATTCCCTTGGTTCCTTGCCACAGTGCCTTCTGCCCCATCAGGGACGTGAGGTAATAAAGCTTACCTTGCCTACCTCGAAGGACGAGGGAAAATAAAACAAAATAGCAGTGAATGAGAAAACTCAGAAGGGTAGTCTCCTGTTTTTAGATTGTGTGAGAAACATTTATAAAGCAAGGTACAATAATTGCCACTATTTCTACTAGATTGAACCATATGAAATGGCTGGCATGCAACCTTTTAGATCTAGTAAGTGGCAATTTCACATGTTCAAACTAATTATGTGAAGATAAATAAACTAAAAACTTAATGAAAGTAAATAAATGAATAAGTAAAACAAGTAAGCAAAATAAATACATAAATGATTTTAAAAATAAGCTAATACATTATAAAGGATGGGGCAGAATCACTGTGGTTCAGCAATCTTTCTAGAAAGGCTACTTAGGGGACACACATTCTATGCCCATAGTCTTACACTTTGGAAAGACCTCCATGCAACAGTATTTGAAATGTTTTATTTATTCATATTCCATCTTGTTCCAGAAGCGGTTTAAGGATATGTAGAATAAGATAGGATTACCTCAAACAGAAATCAAAGAAGAAAAGGAAGGGCAGGAACAGGGTAGAGAAAGGACCGAGGCCAAAGGTGCAGAAGCAAGTGACCTATTTTAAGGTGGGGCTCCCAATCTGGCTATGGAAGGGCTGCCATTTGCACCATTTGTGGGTTGGGGACGAGCCAGTTGCTCAGGAGAAATAAAACTGTCCATGGTACCAAGTGCAGACAGGAGTCTGTCCTGGAGGTCCTCATGACAGAGCACTCTTGTCAAAGGCTCTTTCTGTTATTGATCCTTCAAGTCACACATCAGAGATACGAGGGGGAGACAGGCACGCCTGAACTTGTCAAGTGATGACCTGAGATGTCCCAGGAAGAACCTGCCAGCAGAGACTTACCTGGTCAGGTCAAGGTGGCTGATGATCAGGCTCCGTCCGCTCTCAGTCTGGGCGAGCTGCAGCAACAGGGCCAGGCTCTGCTGCCGGATGGCCAGGACCCTGGAGGACAAGAGGGCGGCCAGCAGCCTACCCCTGTCACGGTCCATCACTAGCACACGCTGGTTTTCCTCTGCAAAACACAGGGGTTGTCTGTCTTCTGCATGCCGTGACGGCAATTAAACCAGCTCTGTTGCCCTCCATCCTAATGGGAAACTCAACTGTTACCCACTCATTTGAAGGCAGGAAAATGAAATGTAAGAGTGTAGATTCTAGAACCAGACTGCTGGGGTCTGAATGCCCAGGGGAGCGAACTTAACAGTGAGCTCTTGTGCTCCTCGGTTTCCTCATCAGTGAAATGAAGATTATGTCCTACCTACAGGGATGTCATGAGGATTAAATGAGTTAATACATGACTGTGCCAGATGGGGACTGGCACCCATAAATCAGCTATGTCCTTATTATTGTCAAGTCTGCTTGGCGTGTGGTATCTGGAAACACCAGGAAAGGGAAAGAAATCAGCTTAATCATGGAATATCTTTAGACCATCAATATTCATACAACGGCTAGAGCGGTCACTTGAGGAAATGTTATCTAGGAAAGCAGAATATCACATGAGAGCATTAACAAATAAAGTGTGCCCTTCCTAGAATATAAGCTCTTCCAGGGTGGTGGCAGAAGATTTATCCCCTTTCGTCTGCTTCATTTTCTGACCAGGTACATGAATTTGTTTGAAACTGCAGGGTAGAGACTGCAGTATGAGGCCAAGCTATAAAACAGAACAAACTGGATTTCAAAGGGGTGGGCCCGGTCACTTGGACCTCATTACCCTGGGCCCTCTCCCCTCCTGTGCTAATTGCCCATTTACACACAGCATACAGCATCAAGTAGAAGACACAAACCAGGACTCTTCTAGTCCTGAAAGAGCCAGAGTAATGGGACTGCAGGATATGATGTGCAGCCCACATATCAAACCATGTTTTTGTTGCAAACATTACATCTCAAGCCTACACTTCATCTATGATTACTCCTGCCCATGTAAGATAGGGTCTACTGATTTCTGAAATGGGAAGGTTCTTGTTGATTTGTTTAGTTTATGTATTTTTTCTTATACTAGACAAGTAGCTTGCTGTGAATAATTCAAATACAGAGTTAGCTGATACCCTCTCCAGGTAAGCCCATTCCCCAAAGGAGTTATTATTCACCCCTCATATAAATAATGTTTAAAATATTATACATCCTACCCTGTAATTGGCTTCTCTTTCCCACTCCACAGTAGATCACTGACATATTTTCATGTCCTTACTTTTAAGCATTCCCTTGCCCTTTTGAAAAACTGCTTTGTATTTATTGAGTTAGATATATCAAGATTTTATTGACCTGAAATATAGCATTTACATCACAGGTATCTGACAATATTTTAAAGATGATTAAAAAAATGTAACTCTAAGGTCCACAGAAATGATAAATAGGTTCACAGAAATAGAGTAAACAGATTGTTATGTCGGATTCACACTGAGTAGACACAGCATCACCAAGTCCTGCCTTCCTCACTCTCCTGTTGGGGAGTTTGCAAAAACACTGCCCTACGCCTGTGCAGGGTCCTACAGAGAGTCGTAAGCTACCTTGGTGATGATATTAGTCTGGGCATAACTCGCCTTAAATCTTGTCAGGAAACAGGCCCCCGATTGTCTAGATGTTTAAGAGCTTAATTTCTTATGCTCTTGATTCCTCCACTCTACTGGAAAAAAAAAAAAAAAGGTATTATCTCCTACTTAACATCTCAGAGTATGCAAACTGCATTCACACGCTCTATCACTGCCTCCCACAGCAGCCCTGTGAAAAGGAGACGTAGCTATCATTATCCCCATTTTCAATGTTTTTGTCCAGGGTCAAAAACACTGAAACATATATTTTAAAATTCGTATTTACACTGAAGTTACAAAAGTGATTACGAAAGATTACACGAAAACGTAATGAACTCTGGAAGATGCGAATATGTGAAAAGCCTGAGTTAACACAGTGAATAAATCCCCGTGGCATTCTACTTTCTCCATATTACACATGAGTCAGTGTGTGGAGATACTGGTGGGGAGGACTGTAACTCTCAGGATGCTGGAAAGGTACTGTGGTTAGCAAAAAGGAGCAATATTTTTAAGCTGGCAAGAAAAGAAAAACTCCATCTACCTCACTGCCAGTGCACAAACAGAAGTCATGAGTCTGCAAAGAGCAGGAGGAGAAGGGAGAGGAGAGAGACCACTCATTGTGCTGACATGACCTCCTCCCTTCACCAGCCTCAGCCCTCATCTGTCTACCTGGCTTTTGATCCATAAGCTTTCCTGGAGGGAGAGGGTGTGTGGAAGTCTAGACAGCAGGTATCCATGGCGCAGTCTTTGGGGAGGACAGTCCCGCCTGACAGTGTATTTCCTGCACGCAGTGCATGAATGGTGATCAGTGGTGATTACCCAGGCTTACCATTCCCACTGCACACTGTTTGCCAGAGCTTGAGAACAGACACACAGACCGTCTCTTCAGCTGCATCTTTTCCTGCTGTGGAAAAACACCTACAATGGACAAAGGAGAGCTATCTTAAAAAATATGAAAATCAGTCTTGATTTTCTCTTCATTTGGTTTTATTTCACCCCTAGACTTGCCAAATGCAGGTCTGAGAAAGTAATTTTATAATCCAGAGCCATGGGTCACCAGGACCAATTACTGAACCATGAGTCCCAGGCAAAGGATGCAGACTGAGGAAGCCAGGGCTGCATAGAGGGTGGCCAGTGAGCCAGGGCCTTGGGTGATGGCTGCACCAGTGAACTGTGGCTGAGCACACAGACATGTATTGGTGACTCCAGCCCACACCTGTAACCTAAACCTCAGGGAGCACACCAGAACAACCAAAATTAAAATACAGTAACTTTAGCAAACTGCCTCCTACCATATAGGCTTTTCTTCAGATGAAATTATAAACGGGATTGGCCAGCACCCTGCTGATCTTACTTCTTGATATGATCAGCAAATTCCAAATGAAGAAAAGAACAAATGACAACCTTGCAAAAACTGGTGGGAAAGCAGCAAGAATGATAATTTCTCTTTGATGAGCTTGGAGGAGCCCTGGGAAGTGCTGCTGTGCCTCTCTTCAATTGCATGGTTTTTTTTGTTGTTGTTGTTGTTTTGTTTCGAGACTGCATCTCACTGTATCCGCCCAGGCTAGAATGTAGCGGCTCACTGCAACCTCCGGGGCTCAAATTCAAGCGATTCTCATCTCAGCCTCCCGAGTAGCTGGGATTACAGGCACCCGCCACCACACCCAGTTAATTTTTGTATTTTTAGTGGAGAAGGTTTCACCATGTTGGCCAGGCTAGTCTCAAACTCCTGACCTCAACTGATTCGCCCACCTTGGCCTCCCAAAGTGCTGGGATTACTGGCGTGAGCCACTGCGCCCAGCCTCAATTGTTAACTGCAGCGTAACTCCAATGACTTGAGGGTCAGCACTCAAAGGTGTTCGCGTAGTAGCTTTGCGGTCCTGGAGAGGCCCCTACTACCGACTGAAGGTTCAGAAACGTGACTACCTATGTGCCTCGTGTCTGATTCATAAGCAGCGGTTATCTTCCCTTGTTTTGATGCTGTGCTGTCTTTATAAACATCCCTACCTTCTTATGACCTCGTTGTCACTGATGATACTAAATCCATTGTGTATTCTGAATAAAGTTTGTTCTGTGCCTGAAACAGATACAGAGAAAACCACTTCAAACTCCCAAACTGGCTGGCTGGTGTCTAGCTGCAACACAGCCACCTGCTAATGAGAAACCTAATATGGAACATCAAAGTCCCCACATTAATGGTTTAGCAGAAACAAATACCTTTACATTTTGAAAAATACAATTGTCAGCAGCCTCTTAGTGCCACAGGCAGAGGGACTGTTTAGAGAAGGAGAGCAGAGCTGGGGTGGCTCCGAGGTCTATCTGCACAGCTCAACATTCTGTAATCTTTAGAGAGCCTCCCAGAGCTGCTTAACCTATGGGAAGTGCCAGCATATCCATCTGTTCTTAAATATTTATTTCAAAGCTGTTTCCAGGCTCTAGAGAGGAATTTATAATCTCCAGGAAACTGCTGAAGGGGATGTTTGTGCACCCTCCATTGCACACTAAAGAGAAGTCAGAAACTCCATCTATTTGTACAAACAACATGCTGTCACTGAGTAGAGAGATCATTTAAGCCTTGGAAACAATGTTTACAAGAGCTAGTACAAGACAACAGTATGGCCTCCTTAGCAGGAGAGCTGATGTTTGCTCTGAAGCCATTTTCACATCCTAAGCAGCCATTAAATGTAACTGGGTGAACCTTACAGTTTAACCTACAAAATTCTGTCCCCCATTCCTCCACAGTGGAGGGAAGGTGTCTGAGGTGGTATGGGATGCCTGGGGTGTCTGCGGGAGTACGTGTGGGGTACATGCAGGATGTACACAGGGTGTGTGGAGAAAATGTGAGGGCATAGTATGTGCAGGATATGTGGACTGATGTGAGTACTTATAGTGTGAGTGTGCTGTGTGTGGTATGTGGTGTGTGTGTAATATATTCAATATGGTCAAGAATATATTCAAGTGAGTGAAAGCTAAGTGCATGTGTGTGTGACATATGTAAGTATGGAGTGTGTGCCACGTGTGTGTGTTGTGTTGTGTATGTTTATTGCATATGTGCTGAGTGTACGCACGTGCTATAGAGAGGACAGAGCAGAGTTGGGAGGACATTTCTTGTGCACCCCTTTTAGCAGCTACATTAGAGTACATCTTCAATCAGTATTTGTGGAAGGAAGGGAGGGATTCTTCGCCTGGTAAAGGCAGACCTCTGAACGTGTCCCTTCACACCGACAGCACTCATGAGATCACACACATCGCTGGCTTACACTCCTTTATAATTTCAGTCAGGATCTCAATCCCCCCGGCATAGAACAAGGGGATCTGGTCAGGCTTGGAAAGGGTCTCCAGGAGGTTCTTGGTGGTCACGGCTGTGTTCTTTCCTGAATCCAGCAGTTTGTGGGCTTCCTTCTCTTGATGGTCTGCTTTTTCCTGAAGATCTACTTGATTCAGATAATCTAGAAAAGCAAGAAAGGAAAAGCAAAACAAAACCCTAACAATCAACAATACTGTGCAAGAAGTAACTTTTTATTCCTTCTCTTTTGAGGATGGGAGTTTGAGAAGCATAAAGCATTAAAATAATTCAAACTCTTCTTCAGCAAGGAACATTTTAGAAACAGCCTAAATCTATAACCAGAATCTTAAATCTTGTTGGGGATTCAAGGGAGTCTAACAGCGTCTAAGGGAGGATGGTGTAGAAGATGAAGAAGGCAAATATTAATATTTGCAAGGGAGCACAGCAGGCAGAGGAGTGGAGTGAGCTGGTAATACAGAGGACTGGACCGTGCAGGAAAGAAAATCCACTGCTGCCTCGTGGCCAAGGGCGGTGTAGGCAAGGAATGTATTCTAAGGCAGGAGGCAGAGGGAAGTGGAGTTCGGATGAAGGGCCCCAGCAGGAACAGGCTCACCTTTCACCTGGGTTTGCAGCTTCGGGTTTATTTCTAAGATCTTCTTATAACACTCTCTAGACTGGAAAAAAGAAACAAGACCTTGAAGAGTGGCTGGGGTAAAGGTGATCACGAGGAAGACATTGGGTGCCGTTAGGCTTAGCTGCTTTATTATTTTCTCCTCGCCTCCTCCTGCTCCCAGCACAGGGGACAGGCATAGGAACGCAGTGTGCATTTGACATTTTGTTCAGGCTTCTCCAGTTCTAGGGGCAACAGGTATTATTTCAAAATTCATTTTAAAAGAAGCAGTGTTGTAGTGCTGTTAGATGCTCATGATGAAAAATGATGAGCAAAATATCCAGTCCTAAATTCCTGTAGATCATGTCTGTCTGGGATAGAAATAATCATAAAGTAAATGCAAAACTTAGATATGATATTTGCACTGACCGAGAACAGGAGGCTGTCAGATATGTCCCTAGGGAGTTAGGAAATAAATGAAGCTAGAGGCAGTGTTGACAGAGACTCGGGAATAGGAAAAGAGAGCTGCCTATTTAAATGTACAGGCTGCGAAGAGAACCAGTAAGGGATCCATTTATGGGCCACATAAGAGTCAGCTGGAAAACTCAAGAGTTAGGGCTTCTCATTGAGGAAATTGCTAGATATAAAGTTACTGGATTCTAGTTCATAGGATTCCTGGGCTTAGGGCAGTATTTCCCACAGGAATATAAGAACTGCCCAGAGTATAATCTAACCAGTCACCTAGAGAAAAAGCTCAGATAAAAAGCAGTTCTGAGATAATCTTGAAGTTTCAAAGTTCATCTAGAAGACTTAGAGTTAAGAAAGAAACTGAAGGGGAAACAAATTACACATTAAAGTAGAGAACAGTGTCCCAGGAACAGAAGTCCACACATCAGAGTGACCCCATATCCAACTTCTCTTCAACCCCAGATCTAATCTAGCAACAATTTTTGTTGGCATCACTGTCAGTAAATATCCAGAATCGCATCACTTCTTACCACCTCCATCACCACCAACCTGGTACCCAACATCACCTCTTGCTTGGATATTTATTGCAATGCCTTTTCACATGTTCTCTGTTCTTATCTTGCCATGCCAAAACGCATGCTCAATATAGCAGAGTAATCCTTTAAAATCTGTCAGATAATTTAATTACTTTACTCAAAATTCCCCAATAAAGCGAGAAGATCACTTGGAGTAAAAGCCGAAGTTCTTTGAAAAGCCTATAAGGCCCTACAGGATCAGCCCCTTTTCCACTCGTATCACCTGTTTGACCTCATCTCCTGTTGCTCTCCTCTTGCTGACTGTATTCTCACTATCCCTCTGCCAGGAATTTATTCCCTTATATATCCACATGGTTTGTTCACCACTCCCTTCCTTCAGAAAGCCTTTTCTTACCACTGTATACAAAACCACTCTCATCTTTACTGCTTCCTGATTTATTTTTCTCAATACTACTTACTACCACCTAACATATTACACATAACATACTACACATCTACTTAATTGTTTTTTGTCTCCCGGTCACTCTTACCCCAAGAACATGAGTTCCATGAAGCCAAGGATTTTGTCTAGTTTCACTGATGTATTATTTATTGCCTGTATTTACAGTGCCTGACACATAGAAAGCACTCAATAAATATCTGCTGAATGAATGAATTGAATGAGTAAATAAAAATTGGTGGACAGGGAAAGATTAACATTTTCTTGATTCACATTTATTTTATTTGGCTTTATTACAATAAGCTTGTATTAGATTATCAATTAAAATCCAACAAAGAAACCTTTAAAAAATGTATAATATGAAGCAATTTATTTTAAAGACATATCTTATAAATGGAAAGACATCCTAAATTCATGGATAGAAAGACTTAATATTGTTTAGATAGCAATACTTGCCAGATTGATTTACAAATTCATATAATACCCATCAGAGTTCCATCTGGTTTCTTTGCAAAAATCGACAAGATAATCTTGAAATTCATATAGAAATTCAAAAGTACCGGAATAGTTAAAACAATCTTGAAAATGTAGTGGAACAAAGTTGAAGGACTGGCACTTCTCAACTTATTACAAAGCTACAAAAATGAAGACACTGTGGTACTGGCATAAGGACAGACAGGTAGATGAATGGTATAAAATTGAAAGTCCAAAAATAAACTCATATATTTGTGGTCAGCTGATTTTTGACAAGGGTGCCAAAATCATTCAATGAGGGAAAAAATGGTCTCTTTAACAAATTGGTACTGGGACGAGTAGACATCCACATGCAAAAGAGTAAAGTTGAACCCCTACCTCACATCATACAAAAAAATGGACTCAAAAATCGATTAGACAGAGCTAAATGTAAGAGCTAAGGGCACAAAACTTTTAGAAGAAAATGTAGGTATACATCTTCCCGACCTTAGATTAGATGATCATTTATTAGACGTAACACCAAAGTCACAAGCACCCAAAAAAAAAAAAATAAGTAATTGAGGCTTCATCAAAATTAACCATTTTTTTTGTGCCACAAAGAACATCATCAAGAAAAGGAAAAGGCAATACAAAGAATGGAAGAAAATATTTGGAAATCATGTATCTGATAAGAAACTTGTATGCAGATTATATAAAGAACATTTGCAACTCATTATAAAAAAAGACATTTCTCCAAAGAAAATATATAAATGGCCAATAAGTACATGAAAAGATCCTCAACATCGTTAGCCACCAAAAAATGCAGATCAATACCACAATGACACATCACTTCACACCCACTAGAATAGCTACAATAAAAATAGATAACAAATATTGAAGAGGATGTGGAAAAACTGGAACCCTCACACACTGCTGGTAGGAATGTAAAATGCAGCAGTCATTTTCAAAAGCAGTTTAGTAGTTCCTCAAAAGGTTAAACATAGAGTTATTATATGATCCTGCTATTCCACTTCTAGATACATACCCAAGAGGACTGTAAACATAAAAAGAAATCCTGCACGTGAATGCCTCATTGCATTGTTATTCATAGCGGGCAAAAAGTGGAAACAACCCAAATGTCCATTAACTGATGAATGAATGAATAAAACATGGTATCATACAATGGAATATTATTCAGCAATAAAAAGGAACAAAGAACTGATACACATTACAACATAAATGTGCCAAGCAAACATTATACTAAGTGAATGACCTTAGTCACAAAAGACCACAGATTGTATGACTGTATGAAATCTACAGAACAGGCAAATATATAAGAGACAAAGGCTGGTGGTTGCCTAAGGCTGATATGGGGCTTCGGGGAAGGGGACTGACTGCTAATATGCACAGGGTTTTTCTGGGAAGGGATGAAAATTTTTAAAACTGATTTTGGTAATGGCTTCCAGACTGTGAATATACTAAAAACTATTGAATCATACACTCTCTACAGGTGAATTGTGTGGTATGTGAATTATATCTCAATAAAGCTACTTTTAATGATATATAATATCTTAACATGGATAGACAGGTAGATAGATTAACTGATCTGCATGGTTTTTTTAGGTGATGAGAGTATAGCAAATTTTGTTTTCTCTTTTGCTTCTGTCTTTTCTCTCCAGAGACTGAACAAACACTGGTAGAGGCTGTTGCAGAAGAGTCCTGCAGCTGGTGGGGTGCAGCTGACACCCAACATTCTTCCCAACTTTAAGATCTTGAGCTTTACCTTGGAAAATACTAAAGGATGGATTAATACCTGATTAGCTTGGAGAATCATGGTTCTCCTCTAGTACAAGTGGGAGCATCGCTCTGTGATCAGTCATGTCAATTACACTCCTCTAAGAACTTACCACACTGTAGTTCTTCAGGGCCAGGTTGGCTTTTCCCATGTGGAAATATGCTTTTGTGCATTTTTCATCACACTGAATAAAAGAGAATGACTGATCAGAAGTTTTAGAAACTGTGAAGTCATTAGCCACTCCCCTCACTATACAGCTAAAAGAGTTAAGGTGAAGCTTTGATTCTCAGGGCAACTACCAGAGTTGACAAAACTTTTTTTTGCATACTTGTGACCAAACTAATTGATGTCTGCAAGGAGCCTGGATGCATCAGCAAGCTCTTCACCAAATTAATTAATGATACCTGCCAGTTTTCATTTCCATTTAATGAGATGCAATCAGGAAGCAAACCCTCAGTTTAAAAGAGCTCTTAACACTGGCAGAACATTAGAATCATCTAGGATGCTTGTAAAAATCCTGCATCCCACGTCAATTACATTATACTCTGGGGTAAAACCCAGGCATCAATAATTTTTTAAGCTTTCTAGGTGAGGTAAATGTGCAGCTAAGTTTGAGAGTCACTGGTTTACTAGAAGAGAGAACTTACTCTGGGAAAACAGCTGAGATTACTATTATATCTTAGCGGACCGGGGAAGTCCTTCCTCCCAAATAAACCACAACATGTGTACTGGGAACTTCTGTTCATATCAGTTAAGATCAATAGGGATGCCCCCTTCAAAAAGCAGGTTTGAAGCTTATGGCAAACTAGACCATTTACACAGGGGGCCCTGCACCTGCCTGCCCCTGCAGGGGATGATTTGACAGAGACATACACTAAAATCTAAGACATTCAGTTAATGAATATTTATTGAGCCTCTTTTATATGCAATACATTGTGCCAAATCAGATGCCCATCAAAGTTTTAAATATGAAGAGTTTAAGAGTTCAAGCTCAGGGCCAGGCACGGTGGCTCATGCCTGTAATCCCAGCATTTTGGGAGGCCGAGGTGGGCGGATCACAAGGTCAGGAGATGGAAACCATCCCGGCCAATGTGGTGAAACCCTGTCTTTACTAAAAATACAAAAATTAGATGGGCGTGGTGGCACGTGCCTGTAATCCCAGCTACTTTGGATGCTGAGGCAGGAGAATGGCTTGAACCCAGCAGGCGGAGGTTGCAGTGAGCCGAGATTGCACCACTGCACTCCTGCCTGGCAACAGAGCTAGGCTTCATCTTAAAAAAAAAAAAAAAAAAAGCATTCAAGCTCGGGAGTCTAAAATGTCCTGCGTAGATCCTTGTTCTGCTACCAGCAGAAGTGGCATGTTGGCCAGGCCACCTAACTTTTCTGACACTCATTTTCCTCACCTGAAAAATGAAGACAATAGTAGTATCTCTCTCGGGTGTTTGTGAGGAAGAAATTATGTAAAACACTTGGTGTGGCTCTGGGTAACATAGTATTAGCTGCTATTGCTGCAGTTATATCAGCAGCAATTCATTTCAGAGCAAAAGAGAAAATCTAAATTTAATAAAAGAGAGGAGAATAACAATAGTAATAAAAGAGAGAACAATAATTGTTGGAGAAGCCTTAGAGATACACTTTTGTGTATATCATTTCCCAATTCACTGCTAAGTGAATGGAAGTCATAATAATAACTGTGCATGACAGTTCAGCCCAAACCATGTGCCAGGCACTGAGCTTTATGGTTCATATGAATGATCTCACAGAAGCTTTATAATAACTCTACGAAGTGGATACACTTATTATCCATATTTTACAGATGTGGAAACTAGGGGTTGGATAGGCTCAAGGTCACAAAGGTAACAAGTGGAAGAGCTGGAATTTGAAACCTGGCCATTAAACTCTCAAGGGTTTAAAAATGACACCAAATCTCCTTCAGAGAGTGCTATAGAAAAAAGTATATAGACGCTATAGAAAATGCTACTGAAAAAATTCAGTGGAAGAAAATATGCTCTAAATTGCATATTTTTAAAAGGGCATGCAGAGGAGGAGGGATCTGGGCTGAGTCTTAAGTGACATGGAGAGGTGAAGAGAGGAGGAAGGAGGGAGAGTGGGGTGGGCAATGACCTGAGGGAGGAGAGTACAGGGGATTTGGGGACAATCCATCTGGGATCGAGGAGCAGGTGCTGGGTGGAGGGATGATTCCATCTTGAGCTAAATGGCAACTCCACATGGTAGCCTCGCATGCCACACTGGAGGAGGGTGAGTCACCAATGGCAGTGTGGAGGTAAGCTGGTAGGAAGGTGGCATGCAGACATGACCAGAGGAGGGAAAGGCTGAACAAGAGGTATGGGCTGAACAATGAGAGATGAGTAAGGAGACCAGAACAACCACTTAGAACAAGGGCTAATGTCTGAAGTCCTGGTGACAGTGGGAAGGAAAGGAAGTGCAGATGCCAGAGCTATGTCAAAGAAAGAACTGGCCAGGATCAACTAGCCATCAATGATAAGGAGCGCTAGGATGTGAAGTCAAAACCGGGGGTCTAGATTCCTGAAAGACATAGTGTGTCATGAACAGAAAGAAGTCAGCCAGGGCAGAACGTGGGAAAGGCTGAGTAAGAAGATGAAGAGTTGACTTCTAGACATACTGAGTTTCAGAAGACATGAAGACAATCAAAAGGCACCTGCAGGAGGCAGCTGACATGCAGCCCTGGAGCCGGGGAAGGGGAGATTGGGGAAGTAGGTCTGACAGCCATTTGCAGAGATGAGAGTTGAGCCCGTGAGAGGAGAAGAGAGCTGTGAGGGAGTAACTGTAGAGAGAAGAAAGGCAGGGAGCAGAGGGGTGACCCCTCATGAATTCACAAAGGATGAAATTGAGGAAGCAGGAAAGGAATGGTCAAAGGGAAAAGAGGAAACTCTAGTACTTCAGCTCATGAAAGCCAGGTATTCACAGTACATTCACTGGCAGAGCACTGGGGTTACAGCAGGCGGGAAAACCCAGCCCCAAGCATTAGAGCCTTGTCCCTGGCCTATCGTGTGTCACCGTGAAGTGCAGATAGTTGTGACTTGCCTTCCTCAGACAATGACACAAAGGGCTGCTAATGGGTTTTTCTCACTAATACGCCCATTCTCCTTTGATCATGTGTCAACCCTCACTAGAATTTTCTTGGGTGAACCCCAGCTTCCTTTTAAAGGAATCCTGCCTTCAGAGGAAGATGTATTTCATTGTGCAAGAAGTGTTCTGCTGAGAAAGAAATGATGTTGATCCTAATTGAAACCAGCTTTGCTGCCTTATCTTCCTTGACAAGAAACATCAGTCTTGAAATATCATCACATTGTCTCTACCAATTTAAAAGTGTCAAAAAAGATTAAATTGGCACGAAAGTACTAAAACTATAAGTAATGGAGTGCCAGTGACATTCACTATTGATACATTAATTTTAAAGAGGCCAAAAGTTTTTCTTTTAATTCACAGCTGCAACATAAAACAAATCATTATTAGTTTTAGACTCTTTGTACATTTTTTTTTCTCATTTCTCCAAGTGTTTACCCAAACCTCTTCAACTAGGAGCCTCGCTGGGCATTTAGCAAGATTGGCTGCTGAATGTCAGCATTTTTTAATGTCAGCTCCATTGGGTCTGCTTGGCCTTGGTTTCACTGTTAATTACACTGTACTTCAATTAACATTTGGGAACAGGCCAGTGTGTTATCCTGAATCAGCATGATGGTATGTCTGCCCCTTTGGCATTTTTCAGATCAGAAAAGATACTCTTGGAGAACCTGTGAGGAGATCGCGTTTCTTCCAGAGAAGGGAATGAGATCCACACCCAGGGACTGTGGGGTTTGAGGCTGCAGTGGAGAGGCCCTTTGTAGATGTTTAAGAGCATGGGCTTAGAGTTAGACAGACACTAGCTTCATGATCCTGCACCAGTTACTTATTCAATCACTGAGGCTTGGCTTCCTTGTTAGAAAAATAGAGAAAATAGTGATACTGAACAGAATAGAACAGAATTTCGTGAGCATGCAGCAAATGATGTTTGCTGTTATTGCTGGAAAAAACAAGGAAAACATTCTTGCCTCTCTCTTCTCCTGCAGAATAATCATAGAAAAAGGAATCATTATCAAGCAAGGTGACAAAGCAGGTTGGTGGATCTATGATGGAGCTGTGAGGAGCTTGATGTCATCAGCTTTGGGCAACTCTTATAACTTAAAGACCATACCCGTGCAATGGGAGAAGATTTGCCATACATTGTATCTTCTAAGGGATAAAGAAATCAGGCACTCCAGATGTCAGTGTTTTATGTATGATTATAAGCAGAGGTGACTTTCTCATTCATCCCTGTTTTCCTTTGCTTACCCTCTCAGTAAGAAATAAAGTAGACATGGCCAGTATGCTACTAGGAAAGTGTCCTCTTGTTTTGGGCCATGCTCATTAGGCTAGGGTCGGTGTGCTGTAACCAAGAATTGAAGCCAAAGAACAAACCTGGTACATTGCCCTGCTACCTCAATTTTACTTTATTCTAAGGTATTGAAAATAATACTATTATATTTTAAAAAACAGATAACTTTTATGAAGTCCTGTGCAAAATTAACAAGGTTTTGGTTTTTTTTTGTTTGTTTGTTTTTTAAGATAAAACACACATCTTAAAAGAAATTTCATGCTGTCTGCTTCTAGACCCTCTCGAGAGGCTCACATTCATTCTCCTTTGCTGTTAGCAGCACTTTAGTGCAGAAGTCTGAGAAGTACTAGTTTTGGTTACTTAGTTAAAACCCCCTGTGACAGAGGAATTTAGGGGAATGTGGATTAAGGGTTACTTAAATATTTGGTCATGTCCCTAAAAAGTGATTGAGTTATTTTTCTTTTAGTAACTCTTAACATTTCCATCAACAGTCTTTACTTCTATGCAGCTTTGATCATCTATTTTGGCAGATTTCAGAGGAAATGCCATGTATAGAATAATTTTGTCTGCCCGAGGCCTGACTAAAGTCGAATCATAGGAATTCTTTCTTCTGATTATTCCTCTACAAATAGAGGATGTTATATTTCCAAATTATTAGGGCCGGAGGGAAAAAGCACAAACTGATGAGGAAGAACCGCATTGCAGAAACAAGCTCCAATGGCTTGCTCTAGAAGAGAGGAGGCATTTCCACTATCACATAGAGCAATGCGTCTGATAACACAATACTAAAGAAGGAGGTGCTGTAATATAAGACCTTGAAAATTCAATAGCAGCAGCTCCCTGGAGTGCTTTCTAGGAACTAGGTAGTTTTTGTGCATTGTTATGACTCTCCTAACAATTTTATTCCATCCCATTCTATAGATGAGGAAACTGAAGCTCTGACTGCAGCGACTGTACTCTTTCCTACCTTGACACACTGGCAGCTACCTTCTGTCTACTTCAGCCCAACACCATCATGTGGGAAAAGAAATACTCTCTTACCTTGAGAGCCCATTCACAATCCACCAGTGCCTTCTCGTAGTCCTCAAGTTTCATATAAGCCTGTAATGACACCAACAGCTGATATTCACACACAACTCTGCATCAGGCAGTTTTCAGTTCACAAAGAAAGAGCATTTGAACAATAGTTCAGTGATGAACTATTCCCTACCTGGATCAGTCATGGTCCTGGCAGGAAACAGATGGCACACTGGCATAGGGCAACTGAGGAGAGTTTAATATAGGGATCTCTTCCACGGTGAAGGCAGGGCATAGGGAACCTAACGAGGGATGCTACAGAATCCCAGGGCTAGCAACAGTGGACAGCCATTACCATGGCTATTACTGAAGGGGAAGAAGCAGGGAGCAATGAACAAAATGGGAGAGGACAGCTTTGCGAAAAGAACTGCCTGGCATGAGCTGAGGGATTCACCAAAGCCAAAGTCCAGGAGAATAGATACCCCAATCTCACGTTCCCTCCTTCTTTCTTATTTTATTAGCTGAACGCAAATGGAAGCTAGAGGGCTGGGAAGCCAAGGAGCCAATCTACACAGGTCAGCCCTCCAGGGCACAGAGCAGGGCAGGGAAGGATCTAGAGGGATACACAGAAGAAAGCCAGCTCACTAACCACATCCACGAAGGAAGAACTGGATTCTGGAGTCCACCCTGCTGTGAATGTTCCAGAAAAACACCAAGTGATAAAGGGAATCAAAAAGACAGACAATTAGAGCCCTCATACACTGCTGCTGGGAATGTAAAATGGCACAGCCCCTCTGGAAGACAGTCTGGAAGTTCTTAAGAAGGTTAAATATGTTACCATATGACCCAGCACTTTTATTCCTAGGTATATACTCAAGATGAATATAAATATAGATCCATACAAATGCCTGCACATGAATGTTCATAGCAGAATTATTCATGAGAGTCAAAAGGCAACAATCCAAATGTCCATCAGAGATGAAGGGGTACATAAAATACGGCATATCAATACAATGGAAAATTATTCAGCAATAAAAAGAAATGAAGAATTGACAGATACTATGACATGGATGAATCTTAAAAACATTATGCTATATGAAAGAAGCCATTCACAAAAGGACAAATGTATGATTTCATTTACATGAAATATCCAGAACAGGCAAATATATAGAGACAAAAAGTAGACTGGTGATTGTCTCGGGATGGGAGTAGTAATGGGAGGATTGGGGGAGTTGACAGCATAAGACGGACTTTCTTTTTGGGATGATGATGAAATGTTCAAAAATTGATTGTGATGGTTGCACAACTCTGTGATTATACTAAAAACCCATTAAATTGTGTATCATAAATGGGTGCACTGTATGGTATGTGAATTATATATCATTAATGCTGTTATCAAAAAATGATAAAGCACTGCTTCTGTCCTCCTGAGCAGAGCAGAAAAAAAATGCAAGAAGAGAGTAACATATGAGAGTCAGAGCATCGCCACGAACCCTCAGTATCAAATGCCTGGGGCACTGTTTTACAATCAATCCCCTTAGAATTGGGGAAAATCATGAAAATCAAGAATTGGCTCAGAATTCCATGATCCATTCAAACTAAACTGATTGAAAACTTAGTTCAATGTTTCCAAGAACTAGAGGAATATAAAGAAATGAAAGACTATTTACAAACAAGCACAATGGCTACTATGACCTCTCCATTATTACTGAACACAGTAAGTGGTCAGTAAAGTCTTACCAAGTTGCACTAAGAAGATTTGAAACACTCTTCTTCTGCAAAGCTCCCTGAGAGGCAGCACCAATCATCCCATTTGTACGAAAGGGTAGCCAAGCACCAGGAGCGGTGGCTTTGCCAGGGATCCATCAGTTACCAATAATAAAGCCAGCACTACATGTAGGATTGCCCATGATCAAAACTGTACCAGGGCACTGCAACCACTCTTAACAATGAACCTGATGAGATATTTACATGGACAAGCCAAATCGTGGGGTCAGTGCTGCAACTCACAGGGAATCCAAGTATCCAACCCAAGTGAGGAAGGAACTGGCAACAGCCAGCAAATGAATTGAAATCATGCAGCTCTTGGCCCCCACAACAAGGAAGCTGCGAGTGGTGCTTTCATTAACTCAGGTTCTATAGTAATCGGAGAAGATGAATCTTTGAGCTGTCTGTTCTATAAAGCATCATCCTTTTCTCCAGGGCCTCAGGTTTAATTTGAAAATTAGGGGATGTGAGGAGGAAGCTGGCATGATTCTAGACAGCTGTAGCCATGATTTCATGGCACTATTATTCAGGACACATGCAGACTCTGAAGAAGTCTTTATGGGTTGCAACAATACACAGCTTTTTACTTTTTTTTCTTCTTTCTCTCTTAAGGCTTGGATTAAACACCCTATAACTTCCTTAATCTCTTTTGCATGTTTTGAAAAATAACTACTTTTTCCAAATAGCAATTAAACTCCAGATTTATCTAAATTACACCGGCAATCTATTGATCATAACATTAACTCCAGGGGGAAAACAAAGCAATGAAAGGTTAGGTTTACTCTCTAGCAAGCAACACTCAATTTACAGGGTCTTTATTAAGTGTTTTCTAACACTGCATGCATACAGGGGAAGCATTTTAAAAATAGTCAATGGTTCAAATGGTTCGTAACACCAAGCAGCACATTTTCCGTTTCTTTGTCTTTGCATAAGCTTTCTCCTTGGGAAAGCTGTGAGGAATCACTCCCTCAGACCTTTTCATGACATTTCCTTATATTTACCCACATTCATTCTTAATGTGATTCTTCAGAACTAATCAAAATGCTGCTTAAAAATGAGTGCAGTGAAAATGTAACTAATTTAGATGAATTGGGGTATAGACAGTCTGATTTAGATATGTCTGAATTATATAACTTTTTTAAAGCAATTCCATTTTTATTGCTTTCAAATAACTTCAGAGTAACACGACTGAACAAGCATCTGTAGGCAGATGTTTTTAGAGACCAAATTTGGTGATAAATAAGAAGGAACTATAATTATTCTATTAATTGCTTGCATTTAAACGATGCTTCTGAATTATCAACAGAAACTTAACTCCCTTAATTGGACTTACTGTGCTTCCAATGTTATGTAACCAAAAAAGGATTTATTGAACATCTGCTATAAATAAAGCATTAGAGGAAGAAAGTATATGGCAGTTTTTGCCCTCAAAAAGTTTATAATCCTGTTAGGGTAATACACTGTACTGCTAAATCAACCTCTGGGCATCTTTTTCACTGACTCACTTCCTTATAACAAGTTTTCTCCACAAATTGAGGTAGTTGAAATAACACTTCGACTCTAGTCTAACTTAACCAAATTGCTAAACTAATGAGGTTATACCGCTTGGATTTATTTATCATTAAATCACTGTCACTCCGCAGAATTTTCAGCCTCCAAATGTCCTGTTTTTTGCTTCCAATATTCTTCCTCAACATCCCACAGCCAGACATTCTTAATCTTGAGTTAGGGAAATTGGAGCTGATGAGGACTCTGCTGCAGCCTCTTCCTCTTGCAAATGACAAGGCATCAAGTCCACCTCAGACAGGTCCTGCTGACATATTCTGATCATGGGTAATCATGTCATGAATCTGCCAATTTTTCAGGCCTGCCCAGCTGAGAACTCTACCACACAAAAACTAAACTACTTTCCAAAGATAAGGTCAGAAGTGCTAGTTTTGTTTCAGCTGAGAACTATCAGCCTATCTCTTCATTAAGTAGTAAATGCACATCTGGGCGGTTTTTAACTGGTGTTCCAGTTAAAACACTAATTTGTTAGTGTCACTAATTGAGCTAATTTGTGACATAAACTAAAGCATAAAAGCTTTTGGAAACCCAAAATTTCCAAGAAATTGGCTCTAGGACCATTGGCTATCCACTTTACCCCTGTCAAAGAATCTTAAAGAGAGATTGATACAACAGATGAGAAACTAATAGAAGGGCATCCCCTAGGAATTAAGGCTAGTGCCAAAAAAGGAGGCTGGACAAATCTATTGGTAGCAGAATTTGAAGGTCCCATAGGTCATTTCATTCCACTAGTTTTCTTCTTTATCCACAGAAACAAGGGCATGGTCGCCATCAGTGATATGATGGAGCTGACTTATACTATGGAGAGAGCTGATATGGGTAGCTCTTGCCAAGTCCTCCTGCAGTGACTCCAAATTAGATCATGGTGAGAATATCTGCATCATGGAAACTGGCAAATGGTACGTATAAGTCAGCGCCCCCCTCACCCAAAACAAGAGCCAGTTCTTACAAACATTTCCCAGCCCAACATCTAGTCTCATCTTTGTTTTCCCAGGTGTAGTGACAACTATTCCCCAAGAAAGCCCCACGGACACATCCTTGGCTCACTGACCTGGGCTCGGTTGGTGTACAGCACTTTCATGTCCTTCAGCTTCTCCAAACCCTCACTGTAGCGCAGGATGGCTGTTTCATAATCGCCTTTAGCAAATGCTTCGTTCCCCTTTTCTTTTAGGGCTAAGGGAATATAAGTTACACAGGTGAGCTCTCACCACACATCAGAAAATCTCTCAGACGTTATTCCCCTGATTTTCCAATTCTACTTTGACGGTCTTCGCTTCTATTGATCCAAAAGGGATTTGTCACTTGTTTCTCTCTGCAGATATTTCAGAACCAGCTTCCTCAAGTATTTTTTTTTCTCTGAATTCACCCAAATCTTCTAAGTAGATTCTCAGAAAAAGTAAATGTTTCTAAATTGAGACTAAGAACCACACTAAGCTTGCCACAGAGACCAAATCTATGCATTCAGTGTCTCATAAAGAGAGTCAAATAATTAATTTTCCCAACAAATATGGAATCATTCAGAACTGCAGCACACACAGCCCTGGGTGGTATAAATGTTGAAAGCATTCTTCTATTATGTGTATGTCCCCCCAACACACACAATCCCATCCCTTCCCTTTCTTTGATTTCGCCTCTCTTTTCTCACAGCTGTTTTTCTTTTCCACCTCATCTATGCCTTAGGCGAGCCAGTGGCACCACACTGCTACCCCCCACCACTTTCTGAGCACTGTTTAGTACTATTCCCTTCGCTCTGCTAAGTGCATAAGAATGCTTTAGAAAGAGGTTTTCACTGGAGGCAGTGAAAGAGCTTTCGCTGAAGGTCGGTATGTCCTATGCCTGCTTGTTGCAGCAGGAACAGAGAAAAGGCACCAATGGTTTCCTTCTGGCCAGGTCCCATTCCCTCAAGCTCGTCACAAACCTCACCACTGGAATCTAGATGTCCTCACATGTCAGCATATAGGCTTTCGTGTGCTCTTTCTAGCAGAAATCATCCCAGCCATTGAAAAGTAAGGATTGGCAATTACCGTCTGCTAAGACTTTGTTTTCCCTCCTTCTCTTGGCTCGTTCCTTTGCATCCTTCTCCACAGATGCCAAGAAGGCCTCTGACAGCAGGGTAATTTCAGATATTAAAAAGAAAAATCCAAATACTATAATCAGATCTTTAGCTCAAATTCTGAAGAGTTACTTTAGAGCCACACGTACGCATATGCACACAGGCACACACACACACGCACACATGATTCTGAGGCAACTAAAATGACATTTTCTTAATTTGACATTAAATGGTAATCTGTGTGATGTATTATTATACATGATGGCTATGATTGTGCTTCAAATTTGAATTATGTCTTTTAAAAGAGTTTTTCTTTGAAGGGAGATTTTTTTTTTGCTCCGTTTAGCATAATGAGTTTCTGAGCTGAGCAATAGAGAAACTATCTGGATCCCCTGAACAGCTAAGAGTAAATTGGATGATACAGAATAACCAAATTGAGTTTACAAAAGGTTGACCAAGAGAAAATAGAGAAAAAAGCTATCAGGGCAGCTCCCTTTGACCACTAGTAACAGAATGGGATGATCAGTAAGTTTTTGTTCCCAGATTGTTTATAAGCCCAGAAACAATAATTTAAGGGTCTGGGAGCTACAATCCATCAAAAACTGATCCTATACAAAGAATAAAAATTGGAGATGCTGTCCTTACCTGAGTCTATTTCTTCTGTACTCTGTAGGATGTAGATTTTCATAAAAACAAAGAAACAAATTTCAAAAACCACTCTCTGATTTATACGTGCATAAACCAAGAAGGCAAATAGTTGCGAACATTTCCTTTAACCGTCAAAACTGAAGGGCTGAGAATTCAAGGGGCTTGCTTTAAATCAGAAGATCTGACTATGGGCACAATTGCTATGGGAATGAGGCTACCCAGGTCAAGGGACCTCAGCTGTGGCTTATAAGTTGAAAATAAGTTAGAATACTTTGCCTTAAAAGTACAGCTTAAATATGTCACACAGGCTCAGGGGGTGGAGAGGCCAAGTTTCCATTAAAATAGACCCAAAGGAGGCCGGGCGCGGTGGCTCAAGCCTGTAATCCCAGCACTTTGGGAGGCCGAGGCGGGTGGATCACGAGGTCAAGAGATCGAGACCATCCTGGTCAACATGGTGAAACCCTGTCTCTACTAAAAATACAAAAAAAAGTTGGCTGGGCATGGTGGTGCGTGCCTGTAATCCCAGCTACTCAGGAGGCTGAGGCAGGAGAATCGCCTGAACCCAGGAGGCGGAGGTTGTGGTGAGCCGAGATCGCGCCATTGCACTTCAGCCTGGGTAACATAGTGAAACTCCGTCTCAAAAAAAAAAAAAAAAAAAAAAAAATAGACCCAAAGGATTGTTTAAAGATAACCCAGAAAGACAAAAGGAAAAAAAAAAAATCAAATTTTATACTTTCTTATAAAAAATAAATATAGTGAATCTAAGAAACAAAAGACCATTTCAGCCTCACTGGACAGTTTGAGATTAAACTACTGCTTTGGTGTAGGTCTTCTCACTATATGTACTTATATAGCTTCTGAATAGAAAAGGAAACCTGCATAGTAGTTTGTGGAGGACTGATCATAGTCTTGTTCAAGGTGGTCCTGCAGTCATCCTCCTCCTGGTCTTCCTCCACAAGCAGTAGTCTCTTTTCTGTCTCCAGGACAGCTTTCTGTTGCACAACTGGGTCATCAGAATTCATCTCCTGAATTAAATTGGCTAGAGAAGAAATTGGACATGACTTCATCAAACAAGATATTCAAAAGACTCTATTCGCTAGAAAGAATGGTGCATAAAATGTATGGGAAAGAGCTTAAAGAAAAAAATATAGAGCAATAGAAAGCAAAATAGAGCAAGCAGAACCAACGAGAAAAAATTAACAGTAGTTGTTTTGTTTTTGTTTTTGTTTTTGTTTTTCCTAGAACAAGTTGCAGGCAAGTCTAACTATTAGTTTTAAGGAACAGGGTTTTAAGCCATTATTCAATTCAACAATAATTTATGGAGAGTTCATTATGAGTTAGACATTATGCTGAATGCTATAGATAACAATGTTGAATAAAAAAGATCCTTTTTTGAAGAGTTTATGAACTTGTGTAGGAAACAAACACGTAAGTATAGGCAGCTCCAAAAATCACAAAACAACAGCCCTTAATCCTATCCTCACCTGACTTCATTTACTGCCTATCCAGCTTAGATTCCATGGTCAATCACTCAGGAGCCATCCTGCCCACAAACTCAACTCCCTTGCCCCACTATCCCACCTAACAGACAAAATTCCAGTTCTAGGTGATTCCAATTACCTACTTCTCTCAGTCTGTATTAGGGATGTAAAGTACTGATGGAGACAGACAGATGCCTCGGGCACTAGTCCAAACTCAACTGGACCTTCAGTGATGCCCAGCAATCCTTGTTATCCTAGGCAAGACATCCTATCATTCCCCCAATGACTTTTTACAGTTTGCAATCTAAACCTGACCATCTCAAAAAGATGACCTTACTTATCAATTCAGAGAGGAAAGAGATGCATCAACTTCCTGCCATTAAAACTACAAAACTGCCTATACCTACATCCATCCTTCCTTTCTACCAGGAAAAGGTGCCCATTCCTCTGTGAGGTTAGTCCCTCATCCTGGGCTTAGGATCCCATGATCCTATTTTGCATAATCAGGAACTTTGCATCACCAATTAATAATCCTATTGCTCAATATTTTCAACCGATTCCATTCGATCAGCTTCTTCCTAAATGTATTTGTGTACCTTAAATCTCTCTTAATGCTCTGTCTTCTCCCCTTCACAGCGAAACTTCTTAAAGATATTTTCCTGTTCCAATTTCTTTATTTCCCACTGACTCAAGGAAATTTGAAAAATTTTAATTGTAAAATATTTCAAACATACAGAAAATAATATAACATTTTTGTTTCCACACCATTTGTAAGTTAATAGTGTCTTTTCCCCAACATGTTTTAATGCTTAGTATTTGTGTCATTTAGATTTTGCTGCATCACACACCACATCAAAACTTAGTGGTTTGAAACAAACCACGACTTTTGTGGCCGAGTTTACAATTCTCTATGTCAACAATCTGAGCTGGAATCAGCTGGCCAGTTCTTCTGGTTTCAGCTGGACTCACACATACATCCACGGTCAACTGTCAGTCATCTAAGTGGCTCTGCTTTGGAAAGTCCGCTGGGTTTTGGCTTGAGGAATGTGAGCAACCAGGGGAAGTGTGTCTTACATGAGTGGCATGAACGCAAGCCCCAGTTCACACACACTGTTCAAGCCCCTCCCTGTGTCATGTTTGCAAACATCCTTTTAGCCAAAGCAAGGCACATGGCCAACCCAGATTCAAGAGGTAGAAAAATAGCCTCCACTCTTGATGGGAAGAAAGGAATTTGTAACCATTCTTGCAATCTATCAGAATACTTTTGTATGTAACATTTAAACAATTTTTTTAAATGGTTGTATAAAATATGCCATTCTTTTGCATCTTACTTTTTTCTGTTAAGATGCCTTAGAAATTTTTCTTGACACATATGGTTCCAGTTGATTCATTGAAACCATTATATATACCATAGTAATCCATTCTCTTACTGATAGCCTGGTGGTTTTTAATTTTCATTTTTTTCTACAGTAAATAAATGCTGAATTGAATACCTGTACGTACTTATTTCCTTGTGCACATACATTATTCTTCAAGATATGGCTGTATAAACTTTTACTCCTACAAAGGTGTACAAGAGGGAGTTCCCATTCTTCTACATTCTTGTCATCACTTGCTAGGTTAAACTTTTTAATTGCTGTCAATACAATGGATGGGAATGGTATCTTGTCAATGTTAGAATTTGCATTTTGCTAAATATGACTGGAATTGAGCATCTTTTTATTGGTCTGTAGCTTATTTGGATTTCTATAAACAGCCTATTCCTATCCTTGGCCAATTTTCTATTGGGTCATTTGTCCCTTTATTAGTTAACATAATTTCTTTTTTAAAAAAAACATTATTTTAAGAGATAGTCTTGCTATGTTGTTCAGGCTGGATTTGAACTCCTGGGCTCAAGTGATCCTCCTGCTTCAGCCTCCGGAGTAGCTAGGACTACAGGCACACATCACCATGCCTAGCTGATCTGATTGTGAAACAGGAGAGTTCACTGATCTCCCTCAAAGGATGTGTGACAGGGGTGTAGCTTGCTTGGTCAGGCATCATTGCTGCTCAAACCCCTGAGGGGAGGGGGAGAACACAGATAGGCAAGTGCAGGGGCCCATTGGACATGTGTTACAGTGGTGCCCTTTCAGCCCTGTATCTGCAGACGGCTTGAGTGTTAACCAGCTCAGTGGACCCTCTGCCTTTTCAAAAGGGCAGAGGGAAGTGACAGCTTTCTGTATTCTGAGCTCTTGCCCAGTATCCCTGGAAGAACTAGGTCACACACAGGCTTGAAGGATGAATGTAGGGTTTAATTGACTGGTGGAGGTGGCTTTCAGTGGGATGGATGGGGAGCTGGAAGGGGGGATGGAGTAGAAAGATGATATTCCCCTGGAGCCAGGCCATCCAGTGGCCAAACTCCCCTCTGACTGCTCCCAACCAAACTCCTCTCAGTGTTCAGGCATTCCTCCTCTTTTCTCTGCTGTGTTGTTCTGCCATTTGTCTGCCTGTATCCTCTTCTCCTCACCTGCCCATCTGCTTCTGGAGCCTGGGGTTCAGGGTTTGTATGGGCACAGGACAGGGGAGCATGGTGGGCTAAAAGGCAACTTTTTGGGCACAAAAACAGAAATGCCTGTTCCCACTTAGGGCTGCATATCTCCAAGCTTGAGGGTGGGGTCTTTGCCAGGGAACCACCCTCCCCTATCCACTATTCCCCTCTCTCCTATCCCTATCAGTTGTATATTCTGGACTGGTCACAGGTATTTCCAAGCATCTTCACCTTGGGTATGCTTTGTCTTTTCATTTGTTTTTATGGAATATTTTGTTGAAGATATTTTCTCTTTAATTCTAATGTGTTAAATATACCAATCTTTTCCTTTACAATGTATGCCTTTTGTGTCAGTAAGGTTATAAATATACTCTTATGGTGACTTATAAAAGTTTTAAAGTTTTTTTCTCATTCAGGTATTTAATTCACCTGGGGTTGACTTTTGGGTAGGGGAGGAGCATTATTTGTTGAGGAGTCCCTGCCAGCAACGTGTCTGGTCATCCCTGTTATGTGTGTAAATCTACTCCAGGCTCTTTATTCCTTTCCCCGACTGTCTTTTCCAGCACCAAAGCCTCCATGCATTGATTACTATGGCTTTATAATAAATCTTGAACATCAGGTAGGAAGAGTTGTCCTGCTTATTTTTGTCCTGCAGTTTGCTTGGGTTTTCTTGGTTCTCTGCTTTGCATGTAAACTCTGCAATCAGCTTGCTGAATTTTAGTATGTACTACTTTAGGAGTTTTGATCTAAATTGTATTTACCGTATAGAATATTTTAAAAATTGACATCTTTACCAAATGAGTCTTCCTATGATCAAATATGTCTCTATTTAGCTCTTCTTTCATGTCTTTTAATTAACATTTTTTTATTAACTCCGCTCCCCACTTCATTCTAATTTCATTGTTTTTCTCCCTAACGTCCTTTTTCTATTCTAGGATCCCATCCAGAATACTATATGACAGTTAGTCACGTCTCCTTAGGCTTCTCTGTGACAATTTCTCACCCTTTCCTTATTTTGATGACCTGGACAGTTCTGAGTAGTACTGGTCAGGTATTTCATAGAACACCTTTCAATTTTGGGTTTATCTAGTAATTTTCTCACGGTTAGACTGGGGTTACAGGATTTTGCAAAGAAGATGGCACACCATGGCATATCAAGGATGCATGCCATCAGCGTGATTTATCATGAGGTTAACCTCGATCATCTGTCTGAGGTTGTGTTTGTCAGCCTTTTCCACTGTAAAGTTATTCTCTTCCCTCCCTTTCCATACTTTACTCTTTGGAAGCAAGTCACCAAATGTATCTCCCATTTAAGGGGTAGAGAGTTATGCTCCATCTCTTTGAGGGGAGAGCCACCACATAGATTAGCTGGAATGGATTTACTGCTCTTAGGGAAACACAAATTCCTTACTGTGGTTTCCAAGGTCTTTCCTAATCTGGCCTCTCCATATTCAGATGGGACTCTTCTGTCCTTGATCTCTTCTTTCCAGCCACAAGGGGCTTTCTTTCTTTCAGTTCCTCAGAAGTACCACATTCTTTCTTAACTCCTAGGTTTCCTGCCTCCTTACTTCTCACACAGAATGCTCCCCTATCATCTCCCCAACGACCAACTTCTACTCACTCTTTACATTTTGCCTAAATCTCACTTCTTCAGGAAAACCTTATTTGATTTCTGTCATGGACGAAATTGCATCCCCCCAAAATTCACAGGTTGAAGCTACAACTCCTGCTATGAGTGTATTTGTAGATGGCGCCTTTAAAGAAGTAATCAGTGCCCTAATCCAATATGACTACTGTCCCTATAAACAGAGAAACACCAAATACATGCACACACAGAGATGACCACGTGAAGGTGCAGTGGGAAGGTACCCATCTGCAAGCCAAGGAGAGAGGCTCAGAAGACAACAAACCTACTGACACCCTGGTCTTAGATTTCTTAACTCCAGAACTCTAAGAAAATAAAGTTTTCTCATTTAAGCCACCCATCCTATTTTGTTACAGCAGCCCGAGCAGACTAATATGACCTCCCTAAGTTGGGTTAGATTCCTACACTTTATAATTCTGTGTCTCACATAGCACACTTGAATTTACTGCTGAATATCTGTTTTCTCCACTGGACTATTGATACCATGAAAAGAGGTCATTCTTTTACTGTAATCTCTAGGGCCTACCAACACTCAACACATAGCAAGAGCCCAAGAAGTAAATGTACAGAATCTATATACATGTGGCTATATAAATTTAATTAAAACCAACCACATTTCAAACCTGGGCTGCAGCCATAAACACACAGAACCCTAACCACTAGACCACAGGGTAGAGTTATAAGCCACATTTCAAATGCTCAATAATTGTATATGGCTAGCAGCTATCAGAGTGGACAGCTATGGAGCATTTTCATCATCACAGAAAGCTGTATTGGACAGTGCTGGTATAAATGATACATGAATGAACTTTGAGTATGAATAAAAGTTAGCCAGGTTAAAAAAAAAAGAGGAAGAGACAGTGGGAATGGCAAAGACCCAGTGTAGAGTGTGAAACGCAGGGTATGCATGGGAAACTACCAGCAGTTTATTGCTGCTCTAGTGTGAGGTAGGGAGAGATGAGAGAGGTAAGGACAAGGTCATGGGAGGACTTAAGTCCTGATGAGAGCGTGGGATTTATTGTGACTGCAAAAGGAATCCAAGCAGAGAAGTGTCTGGGTCAGATTTGCATTTTAGATACATTACTCTGTGGGGAGTATAAGACTGGAGAGAGGAAAAACAATCAGGGGGTTGTTGAAATAGTCTGGGTGAGAGGAACAAGAACAAAGGGAGGGATGGAGAGGATGGCTCTCCAACCAAACTAGGTGGCTAATTGAATGCTGGGTTTTGAGTTGGGAGGAGTCCCAGATGACTTGTAAATTTCTGGATGGAGGTGTCACCAACTGAGACCAGGATGAAGGGGATGGCAGGAGAAGCAGTTTTATTTGGGAGGGAGAGGGCAAGGGGGAAAGAGATGATGCCTCAATTTTGGACACATTAAGTTTGAGGTATTTGTGGGCTACAGTAGGTATGACAGTGACCATAGAGGCAGAGGCTCAGAAAAGAAGGCTAAGCGTCCATATAGAGGTGGGGGTCATGAGCAAACAGATGGCAGGTAAAGCCACATGTTTAGACCAGCTGAAGAGAAAGGTGGCGGTGGGCCAAGGCCAGAGCTCCACGGAACACCATTCAGGATGAGCAGGCCCGTGAGGCACACAAGGCATTATACATGCATCACTTACAAAGCCACCCAAACTAGCTGTAAAATTATTTTATTCCTTGAACCCATACAATCTGCTAGAAGCAGCAATTTCAACATATTGCTTGTATTTACGATGTAAGGTCTGTTTGCTTGTTGATTTGTCTGTTTCTATACTCAGACAAACTCCCTGAACAGGGACTGACAGGTTTAGAATTTCTTGAATGTGATCTGTGGGATCAAAGTACATATTCTTTGAGATCCCAACTGCCTGAGCTTGGGAAAGGACGTTCTTATCTACAGGGAGAGAAGGGAATGATGATCATAAGTCTTCCATGTAATTTGATGGATCCTGAAGCAAAACCGTTTGATCTTACCTCTGCAACTCTAAAACAAAAGGTTCTACTCTAAAACAGGAGGACCCTCACACTGATCAATGAGGCTCTTGACCCTTGAAGGGAACAGCATGGGGCAACAGCAGCTCCTTTAGATCAGATTCCACATAGGAGGATACACGATATGGAAGAAAACAGTCAGCCTGAATTCCTGTCAGAATATTAACAGTTTCTCTGATATCAATTAACAGCCAGAAAATACTGCTCTGAGGCTACAGCTTGCTTCTCAATACCCCTTGTTTAATTTCAATTACATTTTTTTCCTAAGAGTTATAAACCTGTCAAACCACCCAGAAACTTAATCATTTCTCTTTATCTACTCCACCTTTCTAAAGCAGAAATTAATTTATGATTTACTAGTACTTACTGATTTCATCCACATTTTTAAGAAATTTCTGCAAATCTTTCTCTTGATCAGCATCCATTGTGAACTGGAATCCCTGAGGGATGCAGCATAAATGATGAAATTAATAATAATAAAGCACTAAACAGAATGGTCAGGCTTACTAGACTTCAAAACTATGAGCTGAGTGATTATTTTTATGACAGAGTTTTGTTTATAAACGTCAATGAATAACAGTAGGGTGATCCATTTCACTCCAACTGCTGTTTAAGGCCAAGAGACACTCTTGGCAATGCTTCCAGAAAGCTTCCAGCCCTCCTTCCAGTGCAGAAACTGCTGTGCAAATAGTTCTTCCAAAGACGAAATCAACCCCTGCGATTTAGGGTCCTGGCATAGAGATGAGGGGAAACCAGCTGACAGATTGCCAAGGACAGAGAAATACACTAACACCTGACTTTGATTATGACAGGCTGGTGTAGTCAGAAGCTTAGATGTGGATGTGTGACAGGTAGCAAAGCATGGGACAATTTGCATCTAAATGTCCATCCTTGTTTAAAATACGCCTTTGGCTTGTTTCTGAAGTTAAGAAAGGCTACAAATTGGCTGAATGGATTAGAACGTGACGTTACCACGTGTCTCTTCTGCTCCAGGTAACTTAGACATTATTTTACAGTTGTTTTTGTGCGAGAAGGCCCCGTGGTGTATCCAGGGGTACTCAACGGCTCATCCACAGATCATAAAAATCATCGGGAAGCTTGTTATACATACAGCATCCTCAGCCTTAGCCCAAGATTCTGAGTCAATAAACCCAGGACAGTGCCCAGCCTGGAATGTATATTTTAAACACTTTCCAGGTGATTCTGATTGACAGCTAGGTTTCATAGTAGCGCAACACGCTTTTAACACGTAATCTGCCACGAACAAACTGCGAGTGATCTAATTCGAGTCTCCAGTCTCCTCATCTCCACCAGTTACAAGCTGTGTGATGCTGGCTAAAGTCACAACCTCTCTGAGCCTCAGAGTCCTCACCCATACTACTGGAACGGTAGGAGGAACCTGGAGGACTATTTTGGGGACTGATGTAAAGGCACGCGAAGAGGGCTCACTGTGAAGCACCCTCTCTATATAAAACGGGGAGTGGGGTTGCAGCTTAACTGAATGATCACTAGAGTTTCTTCCAGGTCAAATCTTTGCAATTACCACGGAACAGAGGCCCAGTGCAGTGAATTCACCTGCCCAAAGATATGAGGGTTAGAAGGCAGCGCGCGGGTGCATGGAAGCCAACCCCCGTCTCCCAGGGCATGGATCTCAGGGTCCTCACTGCCTGGCCAGTGCCACTCACGCTAGGGCAGGAGGCCCAGAGCCAGGTGATGGCGAAGCGGCGCCGCGCGCGGTGTTTCACTCGGTAGGGCTCTGGCAGCGAGGACCTGCGCCGGAGCCCCGCGCCCAGACCGCCCCAGACGCGCGCTGCGGCCGGGCGCAAGGAGGCCAGGCCGCCCGCACTGTTGCCCGGCAACCGCTCCCCGGCGTCCACAGGCCCCAGGCCCTCCAAGCAGGTCCCAGACCGCAGCCGAGACCGTCCCAGGCTCTGAGGCCCAAAGCAGCGTCCTCTGCTCGGCTCTGAAGGCCAGTCCAGGACCAGCTCCCAGGGGGATCCCGGGGTACCCCGCTGCACCGACCTGACGCGCCCAGCTTTGGACGGGAAATGGCGCCGTGATCCGCCTAGGCCGAGGCTGGCCAGGGGCCTGGGGCCCGGGGCGGGGCCAAGGGCGGGGTCAGAGGTTGGGGGCGGGACCGGGGGCGGGCATGGACTCGCGATCGAATTCGCCACCCTAGAGCTCTAGTTCCCGAGAGCGCCAAGTTCAAGGCCAAAGTCGGGGTTGTTCATCACAGGCTAAGTGGTTAAGAGCTGGGACTCTGGAGCCATTTTGCTGGGTTCAAATCTCACATCTCCACCTATTAGCATTTATTAAAATGTCTTTAAGCACCTACCATGCACCTTCTATTGTGCTAGGTACTGGGGATCATATTCCTTCTCTTTTATTACTAACACTTTGAAACCATCCTTACAAACTTTATAAAATTAATCAGGGCAGCAGGGAAGGAAGAGAAATAAAATCTCTTTCCAGTTTGCAGCACATTCGGCATGAACCACGAGGCCAGCTTGCTCTCCGGCCTGCTTCTTCATAATTGTTTGATGTCTGTTATCTCAGAATCACATAGACTCAGTTACAAGATTACAGTTCCCTTTAACTGCTCTGTAGATAACAACCTGAACATAAATCATTACGTTTTCCACTTGGAATACTCTTTCAGGTCCCGCATACCAGTGAAATTACTAAGGTTAGCTGTTCTGAAGGACCCACTGACACCAACTGATGTGAGGGCCCCCTGTCACCCTGTCCTGCTGGGCCCCCCAGGTCTCCTGCTATAGCTGACCAGAAGTTGACTCACCAAAGAATGCAGCTTCCACATCCTGGTATTTTCATCCCCCATACCCCACCTGGACAACCCCAGTTTTCTAGCCCATTGCCCTAGATGATCTCCTTAAAAGCCCCAGCCCAGCACTCCACCGGGAGATAGATTTGAGGGGCTCCTTCTCACCCCAGCTCTGCTCCCCCTCACTTGGTGCCCTGTGATCTGACTGTTTCTGTGCTGCACATCCTGCTGTCTCAATGTAACTGGTCTGTTATATACAGTAGGGATACAAACTGTTGGTTCTATACATCTGCTACTGCTACTGCCAGATGTGTGACCTCAAACAAGTTACTTAATCTCTGTGGGCCTTAGTTTCCTCATCTGTAAAATAGGGTTGTTACATGATTCTCTATCCCATCGGGTTTCTGTGAGAGGTACATAGTTAATACAGGTAATGTGCTTAGAACAATGCCTGGAGCATTATCAATACCTAGTATTATTAACTATTACTGCTACTATGATTAGTATATGTTTGACCAGGTCCTCCAACCTTGATTGTGTGTAGAAATTGCCTGGGGATCTTGTTTAAATCCAGATCAACAGGCATAGGGGCTGAGATCTGTGGTGACACTCCTCTGTGGACTGTGGACACACTGAGTAGCAAAGTACAGTCATTTCCTTAAATGCTGGGATGCAGCAGAGCACCAGTGGTACCTAGTCACCAGACTCAAGAAGCTTACCACCCAAGGGGAATAAGGGTCAATAAACAAAATCATCATGTAAATTCTCATTGTGATAAGCGCTATAAGAAGTGAACGGTGAAGAGCAAAGGTAGCACAGGCTGCCATGAAAGTCTAGTCTCAAACTCTGAAAGTCTTCCCTGATGATGTGACGTTTAAGCAGAGACTTAGGGGGTGAGTGGGCATTAGCCAGTTAAAGAGAGACGTGGAAAAGGAGGGAATGGCATTAGCAGTTAGGAAGGAGCCTGGTATGGAGGAGGAACCAGCAGAAGGCCAAGTTTTCCCACTGCATAGAGAGCAAAAGGTAAGCGGTGCAAGATGAAGCAAGGGCCAGATAGCATTAGGCCTTTGAAAGCCATGTAAAGGTTTTTGGTCTTTATCCCAAGCACCATGGGCAGCCTTCTAGGGGTTTTAGCAGAAGAGTGACATGCTCGGATTTTTTTTTTTTTAAATCAAATCTTTTTTTTTTTTTCCATTTATTTATTTTATTGCATGTTAGGTTTTGGGGTACATGTGAAGAACATGCAAGATGGTTGCATAGGTACATTTTTTCTTAGAAAATCATTCTGGTTGCAATGCAGAGAATGATCTGGAAAGAGCTGAGAGGGACACTGGGAGACAAGTTAGGAGGTTGTTGATAGTGGGTATTGGCAGTAGGAATGGAGATGAATTTGAGATGTATTTTGGAGGGAGGCTTGACAGCAGGAAAGTATCAATAATGACATTAGGTTTCCAGCTTGAGCCAGACTGAGGTTCTCCATTGGCTGTGCCAGAGAATATGAGAGAATCACGTTTGGAGAAAAGATGAGTTCAGATTTGTGACATTCAGTCCAAAATGCCTATGAGTTATCCAAGTATAGATGTGGAGTAAATTGATAATTGTCCCTTAATATTTGTTCTCCTCTAGAATAGACTGTGTTTCCCAGCTTTCCTTGTGTAATACATGACCACGTTCCGACCAACTAGATATAAGCAGAGGCGGTGGCGCTACATCTGAGAAGTGTCCCCAAAAGGATGCTCTTCTTTTTGCCTTTTCTCTTTTGTGCTGATTAGAATGGGGACCCAGTGCCTGGAGCTGGGCCAGCCATTTTGAACCATGGTGTAGAAGCATTGTGTTAATAATGGGAAGCCAAGAGCTAGAAGGAGACTGGGTCCTGAGATCATGAGATGCCTCATGGGCTTTGGACTGCCCAACTTCATATTTCTATATGAATGAGACATTGAATGCCAATAAGAGATACTTCAGTTGCTGGAAATATAAAGACTTTTATTGAAGATTCTGCTGTCTTGGGTTTTCTGTCACTCCCAGCCAAACCTAACGTTAACTGATATGGAAAGCACTCTTCATTCATTCATTCATTCATTCAACTAACACTGTCTTAATGTTTATATCTAATTTTTTCCATCATAAGTCCAAATAATCTAAATGTTATACAAGCATAATAGAAATGTTGATATTTAAAAATAAAACACGTCAATTTTTAAATGCATCTCATCCAATAAACTTTAAACATTGGAGCAATTGGCTACTGAGGTCATACAATTAAGAAGTTAATGAATAATGTTTTACTTTATAGTTAGAATTTGTTATTCTTTTTTCTCCTTGAAGTCATTTTTCCATTTTATATTTCCCCATACACACTTGGAATACTATCCTATACGGATTTTTTTTTTTTTTTTTGAGATGGAGTCTTGCTCTGTTGCCCAGGCTGAAGTGCAGTGGTGTGATCTCCCAGGTTCAAGCAATTCTCCTGCCTCAGCCTCCCTAGTAGCTGGGTTTACAGGCATCTGCTTCTGTGCCCACCTAATTTTGCATTTTTAGTAGAGACGGGCTTTCACCATGTTGGCCATGGCTGGTTGGCCAGGCTAGTCTTGAACTCCTGACCTCAGGTGATCCACATGCCTCAGCCGCCCAGAGTGCTGGGATTACAGACGTGAGCCACCACACCCAGCCTTATGGGATATATTTTTATGCTTGCATCTCTTTTACTGATCCTCTCATCATACTTCTCTGCCACAGTAATATCAAAAAAAAGTTGGAGTGTTTGCTGTGACCAAATATCATACTATGAGGCAGGGACACAGCCTCTGTCCTCAAGGATCCCACAGTCCAATGAGGAAGACAGACGCATAAACAGATTATTATATTAATAGAACAGCATAAGAGCAGTGAAGGTCTAGTGTCTAAGGAAGAGGAAGGGAGGAAGAAATGCTGTCAGTCAAGTCCCCATAAGAATAGGGATTTCCCCAGTTAATGTGAAGGCTGGGAGTGTGTGGTCGGCTCCAGGCAGAGGGGACAGGACTGGCAACAGTTTAGAAGCAGGAAACATTGTGAAAGGCAAGAGTGGTGCAAGATGAGCCCAGAGATATGGGTAGGGGCAGCTGAATCCGGGAGGGAAGCCGTAGGAAGGGCGTGAAGCAAAGACACGACGAGGCAAGAACCCAGGGACAGAATGATGAGAGTTCCTTGGGCAGGAGGGATACAAAAGTCAGGGGCAGCGTGTTTGCCTCTGGTTGAGCTGGAAGCCACAGACACTCATGACTTCTTCAGAAGTCACTTCCATCTTGATGATTCCCACATATATCCCTGTGAACCTGGACTTCACTTCAAGTCCCGACACTCTAAATCCAACAGGGCAACGAGACAATGCCTTTCTTGGGAGTAGAGATTTGCTTTATCTTTGTATCCCCAGCTCCTGGTGCTTAGTTGGAGCCAAATAAAGATTTGTTGAATAAGTGAGTTAATCTATTGCTGTGCTCAAATACAAGTTATTCTAGATGGAAAAGGAATAAGGGTGTTTATAGTTTCTCTGCCTCAGCCTTTCCAGGGTGGTCCACCCTGGAGGACAAGCGCTGTTACAGTCACAAAATACTTTTTAGGATAAATATTGCACTTGACAGATTAATCACTTTAACATGTCAGAAGTCCTAGTAAACCCTGAATAGCCACTGGGTTGTCCACAAAGATTCCAAATTCCCCCGTTCCAGGTGCATTGTAGGATCTCACTTCTCTATGGCCTGGTGATTTGCTTTGGCCAATGCGGTGTTGGGAGAAGTGAAATGGGCAGAAGACTTTAACAGCCAGTTTGACTCCCTATATGTGTCTTTTCCCCCCACCCAGCAACCAGATAGCGAGGCTGCATGTGTCCACATCTCTAAGTGAAAATATGGAGCACAGATGCCTGTCTACCTTTGATGGGTAAGTAGAATGAGTGAGCAATAGAACTTTCTTGTTATAATCCATAAAACCTTGGGGCTTCTTTGTTACCACAGCATAATGTTGCCCATCATGTCTAATACAGCCACTCAGACCACTTGCTCTTCAGTTGTTACAATGACAAAATCTAGGCACCTTGCATATGAGAATATGTAAATAATGATTGTTGTGATTTGCATTTTAAATGTCAATGTCTGTGCATTTTCATATATATTCAAACACACAGAGGGAAACACACTTTCAAACTGTTGCTGACTTGCATTTCAAATGTATTTCTCCTAGAGAACCTTTATGAATCATCCTTTCACAGCCACTGCTTCCACCTGATCTAAATCCACTGTGTGGTACTTAAGTTTTACTTTTGCTTTATGTCCTCAATTCAGATGG